TTTCTGTGTGCACGGAGGTCTCTCCCCCGCCCTCAGCCATATGGATGACATTCGCAACATTGCTCGACCCACCGATGTTCCCGACTACGGCCTGCTGAACGACCTGTTATGGTCTGATCCAGCTGACATGGAGCAAGACTGGGAGGCCAACGAGAGAGGCGTCAGTTACTGTTTCGGCAAGAGAGTGATATTGGATTTCCTTGCGACTCACGACTTTGACTTGATTTGTCGAGCGCACATGGTGGTTGAGGACGGCTACGAATTCTTCAACGATAGAGTCCTTGTAACAGTCTTCAGCGCCCCCAATGTAAGTCTCTACGGATATTTCTGGACGAGCTCTGCTAACATGTGATCATAGTATTGTGGCGAGTTCGACAACTGGGGTGCGGTCATGTCCGTCTCGAATGAATTGCTTTGCAGCTTCGAGCTGCTTAAGCCGCTAGACTCGAGTGCGCTGAAGAGCCATATTAAGAAGGGCAGGAACAAGAGGCAGAGCATGCTCAACAGTCCGGTGAGTAGACCTTGGAGAAACTTGAAACGCAAAGATAGCGCAGTCACTAACGTTGGTACAGCCTGCACATGTCGAGCCGCGAAGCGTTTGATGAGGAGGCACGCTGGGGAGACGAGGGACAGCAGAGAAATCTCCATTCATTGATGGATTATTATGAGTTACAATCAGTCGGGCAACCGGGCAGAACATTTCAGATCAGAACACAATAGGCGAAGCATGCGGTTCCGGCGGCATCACCAATACCCTCGGCAGGTGGAATTCCCCGAAGGACATGAGCGCCTACTCGAGTCCGGTCATACACGGACGATGCCTGCGAAAGGCGTAATAGCCGAGTCGAGTGATGGCCAGGTTGGGATACTTGGCAGGGTCAAACTCTAGCAGGTGCCGTTCGTTATCCGATCTCTAGACACGGCTCGGGCAAGAGCAGGAGGCAGCTGGGAATCTTGCGGATTTCCTTGATACGATAGGACGAGAAGGCATGCATCGGTTGCGGCCTTTGGGAACTGGCGGATGATGGCTGAGGAGAACTCTCAATTGCCAGCCTGTCTCGGACAGTTGCACCGCGAGCTAGAGATACAGCGTGCATCCAGTCCATTTCCGAATGTTCATCGATGAAGGCATCGACTAGCGGTGTCTATCATTATTATACAGTAAGGTAGTTAGGGTGTGGGAACTAGGATTTGATTTTGTACGCTTGGTCCTTTCATTGCTTGATAATTCTGGCCGTGACATTCTTCCTCTAATGATGTATTGGCCTATCTATTTATGGCATATGAATAAATGAGCTTCGGCTGAACAGCGTGCGGCGAGCCGACGTTGAATGCAAGGCATCTCAGTGTAACGGAGTGCCGCGCTTGCCTTGCGCGGGATGTGCCCCTCCATGAAGTTGCCCCACTTAACGTCCTGAGATCAGCCTGTGACATCAACTTTTTCCCTTCAAGCCGTAACCTCGACAAGGACAAGCTGCAATACAGACGAACACTCGAGTCCAGTGCCAATTGCTCAGCAGGCGATTCGAATCAGTTTGAGGCGAATCTCGCATGTTGAATTGACCCTCCTGCCTCCTCCTGTGAGCTAGGTGCGACTTTCTCCAGCCCAAGTTGAAAGCGGCAAAATAGGTAAAATTTACCTTCACTGCCCTTTTTCATCCTCTCTTTCTCTTTCTCTCAACCTCAAGTCGGGATTTCCTTTACCTTGAATCGGCCCACACCTTCACCTTCCCAACCACATCCTTGGCTCATCCTTTATCTAACTTCTCTCTTTCAGAAAGAGCCAATTTCACGCCTTCTCCATCTATATAGCACCCAACGAAAAAGAAACTTGGGGGGCCAAAATGGAGAACCAAGCGCCCCAGATCGACGAGTCTGAGCAACGCGCAGCGAAGCGTCTTAAGGTGGACGATTCCGCGCAGCAGACTGAGGAGTTTGCGAAACCCGCTGAGGCTCAGGCTGCCGAGGAACGCGTTGCTGTCGATGAGGCTACGAAGCGTGTGGAGCCTGTTTCCGCTACCGTCAATGGTGAGAAGGCTGATGTCTCGATGAGCGAGGCACCTCCTGCCGAAAAGCAGGCCGATGGGGAGCCTGCACAGCCGAAGCAAGATGCCAGAGACGTGAGGAAGGGCCAGGCCCCAATCAAGGCCGAGTGAGTACCTCTTGGAATGTTCTACAGACTCATGAGATTGACGTGTGAGTTAGGTTTCTCATTCACAGGGAGGGTCAAGTGAAGGAGCAAGACGAGGTCGTCGATGATGATGTTGCCGAGGGTCGTGACCATGGCGATGCTCGCGATAGCCGCGATGCCCGTGATAGCCGTGACGGCCGTGACAAGCGCGACAAGAAGAAGCGGGAAAAGGGCCAGAACAAGGAGCGCACCTTTGGTCACTTTGACGACAACCTCCGCCTCTGCAACACCCGCGCCTACGCTCCCGAGTTCTCCCCGCGTGAGTGCAAATTTGGAGAAAGATGCAACATGCTTCACGACCTGCGCAAGTATCTCAAGGAGGGCCGCCGCGAGGACCTCGAGACCTTTGAGGGCAAGTGCCCCGTTTTCGAGCAGTTCGGGGTCTGCTCATCCGGCTGGAAGTGTCGCTTCGTCAAGAGCCACATGAAAGAGGTTGACCACGAGGACGGCCGCAAAGAGCTCGTCCTCGTCGAGGAGCCCAAAGAGGCCAAGAAGACGACCGGCGAGGCGCCCGCCGAGACTGGCCGCGAGGATCTCCGTCCTGGCGTCTACAACAACACCGAGAACCAGCTCAAGATTGACCTCAGCCGCAAGCGTATCGACTTCACGGAGACGGATAAGTACATCTCCTGGATGAACAAGGAGGCGAAGCTGGGCGATGCGTTCCATCAGCGCCGCAAGGACCAAGTGATTAGCACCCAGGAGGACCTGCGCGCGCAGTTCGTCGACCCGCCCCTGAAGCCATCCGAGAAGCGCAAGCTGTACTTTGGCAAGGAGACGCCCGCCCTGGCGCCTCTGACCACTCAGGGCAACCTGCCCTTCCGCCGCCTCTGCGTCGAGCTCGGCGCGCAACTCACCTACTCCGAGATGGCCCTGGGTATGCCCTTGGTTCAAGGTGTCAAGAACGACTGGGCACTGATGAAGGCCCACGAGTCCGAGATCAGCCCGCCCCGTGTCAACCCGGACAGCAATATCGTCCAAGGCTACGATAACGCGCGCGATCTCAAGTTTGGAGCCCAGATCTCCGGCAGCCAGGCCTGGCACTGCGTCAAGTCAGCCGACCTTCTCAACCGCTACGTGCCCCACCTGCGCCTCATCGACCTCAACTGCGGCTGCCCCATTGACATGGTCTTCAAGTCGGGCGGCGGCTCCGCGCTGCTCGAAGCCCACGGCAAGCTGGAGCGCATGGTCCGCGGCATGAACACCGTGTCCGGCGAGATCCCCATCACCGTCAAGCTTCGCACCGGCGTCAGGCAGAACCGCCCGACGGCGACAACCATCCTCGGCAAGCTCGCCTTTGGCTCCCGCGAGAACCGCGACCGGCTCGGCGCCCCCGGCTGCGCGGCCATCACCCTCCACGGCCGCAGCAGGGAGCAGCGGTACACCAAGAAGGCCGACTGGGGCTACATTGCCGAGTGCGCCGCCATGATCAAGGCCTACAACGAGCAAAAGGACGACATCACTGACACGGTCCGCGAGGCGGACGAGTCCACCCTGCCCAACGCCAAGGACGGACGCATGTTCTTCCTCGGCAACGGCGACTGCTACTCCCACGTCGAGTACTTTGAGCACGTCGAAAAGGCCAAGGTCGACACCCTCATGATTGGCCGCGGCGCCCTCGTCAAGCCATGGCTCTTTGAGGAGATTGAAAAGGGCCAGTACCTCGACAAGTCGGCGACGGAGCGGCTGGCGTACGTGGAGAAGTTTTGCCGCTTCGGCATGGAGGCCTGGGGCACCGACGAGCTGGGTATCGGCTTCACGCGCCGCTTCCTGCTCGAGTGGCTCAGCTTCTCGCATCGCTACGTGCCCCTCGGCCTGCTCGAGCACCTGCCGCCCGACCTGAATGATCGCCCGCCGGCGTACCGCGGCCGCGACGACCTAGAGACGCTGCTTGCTAGTAAGAACTACAAGGACTGGATCAAGATTAGGTACGTGATGATTGACTTTCTTTGCACTCTTCTGCCTGGTTGAATGCTATCTGTACAAGATTGATTTTGCTAACTCGTATTACAGCGAGATGTTCCTCGGTCCCGCTCACCCCAACTTCACGTTCCAGCCCAAGCACAAGTCTCACGCCTACGAGGCTGAGGGCTAAATGCTGGCTATATGAACAACATGAAGGGGAGTGTTGGAGTTGTATCTTGACCCGGAATGGGAGGCCCGCGGGGGAAAAAAATCAGGGGTGGAGGGATACTTTTTTTTTTTTTATCTTGAGCTTCGTATAGCGCGGAGATGCCGCGTCTAGCTGTAGTTGAACTCTCGAGGTAACTCGAACTTTGAGGAAACATGAGATACAGCTGGAAATCGAACAGAGAAGAAGAATCAAAAGTTTTTGTTGCAATCACTGGAGAGAGGAATGCAGTCGATGGATTCTGATGTTTGAAGGCATTGTGAACCTAGTGACATCTCCCATGACCCGACCTTCCTTGCCGTTGGATCCATTCAAACGAAGCGTGTAGCATCGCTAGGAGTTTGATATCCCATGGTTTCCTTCCAACCCTCAAGTTGCCTCTTTATTCCCAATTTTCACCACAAGTGAACGCAACAACAAGATCAAGAATGCCTCGCATTCTCCCTCATCTCTGCCCTCCCGTGATCTCATTGACCAAAACCTTTGTCCTCTCCGCACCCGCACAATCCTCCGCCGTGCTGAGACCTCTCCGAGAGCACACAAACGATAGAACGAAGCCCACTACATCTTCATCTCAGCCAAAAACCCTAGCCTTGCCCACCCCCTTCAAATATGTACGATATCTCGGAAGTGACCTCGGTCGATACGGTGGCCAGCTAGGTGTTGCCGAGAGAGATTCTAGACGGACGCAGCATCACCCTCAACAACGACCGAGACCTTGGGTTCATAAGTGGTAAAGACGATCGTGTTGTTGTCATCGGTGTAGAGAGTGGTTGTGGTCTGGGCGGTTACCTCGGGAAGGACATGACCCTTCTCCTCCTCTTGATGGGGGACCTTCTCCACGGGAGTAGAGACCTGCTCAGTGACTCCGGTGCCGGTAATTATAGCAGCTGTGGTGGAGAAATCACCGCCGGTGGCGGTGGTGGTGGTGGTCGAGTTGTTGGCATGGAGTTCGTTGTTCACCTTTGGAGTATGGGCGAGGGCGACCATGACGAGGGCACCGAAGACGGCAAAGGTGGCGCACATGAGGCTTAGGGTGAAGGTTTTGAAGCGGCCACTGTTTGAATTTTGTAAATCAAAAGTTAGCCAATGTTCTTCTCGTTGTCTATTGGATCTGTAGATGTGTTTTTTTTTGTCTTTGCTGTAATAAGGACGTACGGGTGGTGAAGGCGGATGCGGCGAGGTCTAGCCTCTCTGGTCTCGGGTGCTTGGGTTTGCTCCATTGTGTGGTGTATGGAGTCGACTTTGGAAGAGAAGGTTGTCGATTTGTGTGAGTCGGGAATTCTTTTCTTCACGATGTTTGGGTGCTTGGTGAAGAAAAAGTCGAGTTGGGCTTTGGGAAGCAAAGGAGGCGGCGGCGCGGGCGCCGGTTGGTCTCTGAGTTCTTTCTTATGCGGTGTTTCTGGTGGAAAGGTATGAGAGTGTTGAGAAGGATGAGGTAAGTTAGGAGGTCGGTGGTCGAGAACCAGGTGAAATTTTGCCAGCTTGTGAAGGAGATAAGATCACCGGGCTCCTCCTTCTCATTACGTATCGTACCTTCCGGTGGACGACGTATTAATCCTGCTTTCCTAATCCGAGGGATTTGGTATTCCAGGTGTCTAGCTCTTTTCACCACGAGGGCCAAGCTTCACTATTACGCAAGTCCTTGCCTTTGCTGTAGGGCTTCATGGGCATATTCTATCGTGAATACATGGCCATAGGCTCATACTGCCAAGGGCAACAATGGAAGTAGCAGCGATAGAACTGATCTAAAGCTCTATGTTAACCTCAGCTACGTCACTTCGACTCACACACTTGGACTTCTCTTTCATTGAGTGTCAGGTTTTATAGAGATAGAAAACCTTACTTTTTGCTGCGCCTCCTCGTTCAATACAGATGAAGATTTTCCGGACAACCTTTCTGGTTCGCGTATATATAACTAACTTGCTCCCGCTTGTCTCAAAGTGACCGCCTACTAACGCAGACATCTACCGCTTCCACACTGCATGAAGTCTCTAAGATGACAAGCGACGCACCTCCTGGGTTCTCCTGCCCGCTGTGTTTCGTTCTAGGCCACTTGCAACGCCTCTTTCGATCCAAATTTATCTTCGTTGTTATCGATGAGGCTGAAGAGAGCTTACGTGATGATAGTCATCAAGTGGGTATGTCTTCGACAGTTGAAGACGACGGCGAACCTGCCCCTGATCGCCTTGCAGGGAGCGTTACAATCAATGAGGGGAATTCCCAAGACCCAGGAAATGATTTAGACGAAGAGGAGACCGTTTCTATCCTTACGAGAGTCCCAGATAACCCGAACAACTCCTCTTGGCGGCTCGGTGATGTTAACACGCGCCCGTTGGTTACAGCTACATCTCGTAACCTAACGAGAAGAGAGATATTGCGCTCAAACGACACATCGGGACCATTCTGCAGACCTTGCACAGAGAATAGCGATCACTCTATCCAGAATTACAGAGAGGCAATCTCACCATTATACTGCTCAGGTTGCCGTCGAATCCATTCATCATCCCTCTTTTCGGCAAAGCAACGACAAGAGGGGCCAAACAAACGGATTTGCATCGGTCGAGAGGGACATATCAGGCTCTGCGAGCACATAACATTTGGCTTGGAGGAGTTCGTGCACACTTCTTCGACGACCAATGGGGATACGAGCATCACCCGCAACCATCCAGACCACTTAGGAGATTCGAACAAGCTAGTCAGCCTCCGCGCGCGGCTTGGGATGTCACCGCACACAGCGATGACTGGCACACCCAATGAAGCCAAGGCAACGTTAGAGCATACCAATAACTACGCTTCGTGGGGCAGTGTCATTGGTCTCGACAAGAGGGCCCACCTCAAGGTTCCCGCATACATGCTTAGATAACAACCGGGGTCCTTGTTACTTTCCAGCGATCTTCGACAACGCCTAGAGACGCAGCGGAGGCAGTCGCCCTGCCCATGGTTCCCGGAGGAAGGCCCTCGTCAAATCGAGGCCATGGCATGCTTCAAGCCATTCCGTTGCATCTGCGTGGTCGACGAGAACGAGAGGGGGAGGATACAGCAGGAGTGCATTGCTGGCCCGTTCAGCTGGGATCCGTACGCAAACGATTGTCCTCGCAAGTTTCCCCCATTAGGTTCAAGAGAGAGACTTGACTACAACTATGAGTCCTAATTGCGGAAAGCAGATTATCATAGAGAGGATCGGTGGTCAGGAGACGGCACGGCATGCATACATACCGAGTTCTCGCGCTGTAGTAATCATGATGGCTGTGTCACCTTGTCTCAAAGGCGCACGATTCGGCGGCGCGCGTCTACTGCCCAGGCGTTGGAGCCTTGTGACTCGCAATGGTACCAGGCTCTGGACCCTTCGTCTCACAATCTAGTCGACGACATCGAGTTCAAGAACGTGACGTGGTGCGAGGACGCAAGGTGTCGGAATTTCTACAGGTTTCGGGATCATGCCAGCGTGGGCACCTCGACAAGTTGAAGGAAATTGATCCGTAGATGTTCAGAACCCCGTATGGGCAACTCTAGTTAGTCAACTTACTGAGGAGTAGTGTGGGTAAATCTCCTTACTCGTTCCGTTAAGTTTATGTTGATAGCAAAGGCATAGTCAAAGGTAAAGATCTTCACTCGTTCCGTATTCCCATGCTATGAACAAAACATCTCGATCATTGCTAAGAACTGTCTTCTTCTTAACTTATATGACAACACTCAATCCAAGAAGGAATCCATCTGGAGGATCCAACTTTGCCCAGCCCTTCATCCACAGGAGAACAGGTACATGACGCGACGAACTCAGGCCGGGCAACCAGCACCGTTGTAAGCAGTGCAAACGGCCCTAAACCTCTCGTTCGGCTGGTTGATGCCCTGGAACGTGTCCCTGCACTGCTGCTCCGTCCACTGGCTTGACGTCTTACACTGCCCATCGTCGATTGTGGTTAGCATCAATCTCTTCTAACAGCCATGTACGAGAAGAACAATGTGTATGGGGAAACATGGAAAACATGGCTTCACTTACGACATTGTAGTTGCCGGCAGAGTTGTAGCAGATAGTTCCGCCGACAGCATCGCAGAGTCTGATGGCGGCAATAACTGCGTTGCCATTGTTGGCGATTTGGCAGTGGCAGGAGAACTGGCTTGCTGCGAGCGGCACCCTGTGAGTTTTCTCATCATTAGCTTTCATCATTGCACGATCATTCTGTGCAGAAAGATTCTTTCCGGAGGGGGGTTGTTGGTACCAGGCTGCAATGGAAACGAGGCTGACGACGTTGAACTTCATGTTGGCTGCGAGGAGAATTGAATTCTGAAATTTGAGTGGGATATCTGGCAGAAACAAAGATTTATTGGACAAGTGAGGATGATGTCTATGGGAGTGGCTGTTATTCTAGGAATCGGGCATCGTCAAGCATCTTATACAAGTCATCAACTACAGCATCTCTTCACCAAGTTCTCCTCTTTGCCTCAGCTGCCCACCTTTCACTCAGGCATGATGGACCACCAACCTCCCAAGACTTCAAGATGCATGATTTCCTTGACCCAAATTCCTTGGCCTCGTAACTCCGTCCGTCCGTCAACCCAGGGCCGCAAAAAAGGAGCGACGGCTTCAAACCCCTTCAACACTAGCAACATGATTCACGATACTTTTACGCGCCAAGCCTCTATCCCACACGAATCCGAAATCCACTATCCACACAATTCTTATCTTTCCGTAGAACTCTAGAGATTGATAAAGCCAGAAAGCGGATATCAACTTTTCCTAAAATTCCCAGTATTCCCCATTGATCTGCATAGACTGGGGTACTGTAAGAGGCCATGATCAACCGTGGCGAAATCAAAGTCAGCAAAAGTCACCTGTGAGCTTTCTTGTTGTTAATTAATTATAGTATCAGACTAGTTGACCACTCCCTTCAAGTCTTTCGCATTTAACCGCAACTCATAACCTTAAATCAGACCCAAGTTGTCAACCCTCTTATGGATGGTAACTCGGCCGAGACCCCATCGCCAAGAGCGTACTAAGGAATGACCCGTACGACGAGACCCAACGACAACTCCAGAGTTGACCAGGAACCTGTGTCAGGCACACTCGACAACACTCATATCGATTCGGATTCAACGGAAAGTTTATGACAAGTCAAACGGTCTAAAAACCACAGTAGATGAAATACACGAGCGACTGCCGAAAGAGGATAGTTTCAACCTCCCACGGGTCTCTATGATACGGGTTAAAGCAATATACCCGAGGTGTTTCAACTTTTTCACCGCTGTACCGCCGTACCGTGAAGGCCTCATAAGCCCATGATATTATTTGCCAAGCAACTGGAAAAGCCTCATCTCTCATACTTCCAGCTCTTCCACTGGAGACCGTCTGAACACGAGTTCGTGAGCCTGTTCGTCGGATCACCGCCAAGTTGCCAAGTCCTCATTATTGAAGTTACGCATACGATGTTCATCGGTAAGACAGTTGAAGGGATTCGGATTCCGAATAGGAAACCTGAACTGCCTCTGACTTCGAGATGTATTAATACAAGAGGTTGTTCATCACCATGAAGCACAACTCTATACCAAGATGCCTCCCATCATCCAGTCCACTTCTCCTTACACATTTCAAGCCATCCATCCATACTACTCTACCGTCCTTCCCAGTTCTTCACATCTTCAAAAGTCCCCAAATCTACACCATGCAGTTCAACATCAACACCGTGGCCCTCCTCGCCGCCCTCCTCCCCCTCGCATCCGCCGTCCCCTCGGACGTCAACGCCGTCGACGCCACCCTGGCAAAGAGACAGAGACAGTACCAGTGCGAGACCTCAAACAACCTCGGCGCCTGCAACAACGCCATTGCCAGGCTGAGAGGTCACGAGGCCAGGGGCTGCGACGTCTGGTGTAAGTCTCCTTTTCCATCCATCTTCTCCCCCCCTACCCCACCTTTACGAGATACATGGCTGACAAAAAGGGGTGGAATAGCATGCATCGGTGCCTTTGCGGCCGTGATCCCAGCTTGTGGAGCTGCTGTTGATGAGCTCTTCCTGAGTAAGTTATCTTGCTTATATGAATCCTTATAGACGGTGCCGGAGACATGTGGCTGACTTTTGATGTAGACCCTCTCGCTGATGTCGCTTGCCTCGGAGCCGTGGCCAACTTCCAAGGCCCTTGCAAGGGCTGCGAGCCTTTCTAGATGGAATGGGGGTTTCCAAGACAGCCAGGCCTTTTATCACGAGTTACACACTCCCCACGGATCTTTCCTGGGGAAGGAACACGACCTCTCAAGCAGCCATGGCAATGAGACTGTCATGACCTAGAGCGCGCTACTTGTCGCACATAACAGTGATATATAAGGACGTTGGAGACAGACGTCGTTCATACCTTGGGTCATGCACGCATGGCTGTGAAGGTATCGAGGCACCCGGGATGCCCCTGTTCTTGTACTGAGCGTGTAGACAGTGGCCCGATACCTGATAGCAATATTTTTCATTTCCAATGCATGTCAATGCTTCGTCCAATGTTAGCATCCTATAGCTTCTCATGGTAACTTGTGTTGATACTCCTGGGAATACTGCAACGATGAAAGAGCCAACCTAGTACCACGGAATAATTTTGGCGCATTGCGAACACTGGAGCGGTGGGATTAACAATGAAATCGATGCGTAAAACCCGGTCATGGACTTCCCTCACGACCAGAGCATGCCTCCGAAATCGCCGTGCCCAGCTGCTTGGAGCTCTGTAGAATATGGAGGGCGAGTGGCGTTTTATACATCATCCAGGCCCAGCAGCTGGGACAAATATGTCTCGGTCGACGTAACGAGGCGCCGCGGAACATCAATAAGTTTGGAAGCACCACAGAACGGAAGGTTGTGTCAAAAGGAGAAGCTTTATTAGAGCTGTAGCTTAACGCCATCCAGGCTTCCTACGTACGCCTCTATACCAGTGAAACGGGCCAATGACCTGGAGCTATTCTGTCGCTCACCCACTACCCCTTTTTATGCCGCACTCAGGCGGCGCTATCGTTCTTGCAAGAACATTTCATTGAATCGAATATGCATATCCATTTTGCTGATTTACTGCGCCTTCTTGTCACCCTTGGGCTGGGTGGAGGCGTACTGGTCAGAGAGCTCGTCGTAGCTCTTGTGCAGACCGGCGCTCTGCTTCTTGAGGGTCTCGAGGTCGCGGTTCTTCTCCTCGAGCTGCTTGCGGAGCTTGGCGATTTCACCGGCGTCACCGGCAACGGCGAGCTTCTCGCTCTCCTTGGTGTTGCCCTTGGTGCCCTCATAGCCGCGGACCTTGTCCTCCAGACGCATCACCTCAAGGATCATAACGTAGGTGCGGTTAAGGATGAGGGAGAGGAAGAGGGTGAAGCCGCAAAGGTACATGTTGCGCTGGGAGTAGAACTTGCGGGCTTGCACCTCAAGGCGCTCGTGACCCATGACGGCGGCGCTGTACGGCATCATTGTTAGCATTGTGTACATATGGGGGTTTGTAGAGTTTGATTGTGGTGCTCAATCAAGGGAGCGTCTCAGGAACGCCGGAAAGAGGGGCGCAGGAGACATACCCGCTGTTCTGGTTCTCAGTCGCAATCGCCAACTCGACTTGGACGCGGTAAACGCGGTTGACGCTGTCAATGAACAGAATCAGGATGAAGACGAATGTAATCTTCATCCAATACTGCACTTTTGCAACGATTGGACTCTCGGAGATGAAGCTGCGAAGAAGTGTACATTAGTTATCGGTTCGGAATGCTTGATATGGGTCGGCAGTAGAGAAGCGGTCGACGAAGGGAGGAACGTACGTGAACAACTTCCGCTTGACGGCGAAGGGAAGGGGCACCAGAAGGAGCATGAAAAGCCCCATCTCCGCCATGAGCAGCATAAACACCTGTGACGCACAAAGTCAGCACACATTGTCAATGGCTCGGTGAGCTACCCATTCCGCCAATGACGAAGGCGAGAGGAGATTAGAGTCGAGTGCAGTAGACGTACAAGAGTGTAGTAGAGAGTCATCTTGACTGGTGCGGGGAAAGCTTCAGCTCCCGGGATAGCTAGTTAGAAAAAAAGGGATTGTGGTCGTGTGCTCTCCGTAGATACAGGGAGAGATATGTCGTGCGATAGAATACGCTCGAAGTCCAAACTGACGTCTTCGGTGGTGTTCTTGTTGGGTGTCGTTCTTGGCGAGGGGAGATTTTGGTGCCTGTAGCTGTGATTTGTAGGAGCACAGTTGACGGACTGGGCGGAGCTGGCCTTTTGTAGGATGGGTGTGAGGGTGACGATGGGGTCCGGTAATTCTGACAAGTAAAGGTGGCAGGTACGTGAATACAAGTACCCTCTTTGACGACTGCCTGAGTACCAGAAGGTAAGGTACTGCGTTAGGTATGGAACTCAATGAGAGGAACCCTTACGTAGCCGGGACGGGAGAGGGACCTTGGCGGGAGAACAGGGCTGGGAGCAGCTAGCAAGTGCAGCTAGCAGTGTGTGCCAGAACAGCCGTAAAAAAGACGTAAGTCAACAACGTCATCGGTGGCTCGTGCACGCTCCCTCCAAGGGTTGCGGAGGGAGCCACTGGGGGAGCTCAGGCACGCACCTTAGCTTTTCTAAGGTCTTCTTCAGTGTGCTGCGGCTTGCGGGCTTTCAGCTAAGCCCGTCGAGTGGCTTTCGTGTCCGCAAAAGTGTTCAGAGACGGCTGCATCGGCAGCTGTCACCAGATGGATGTATACCTGGCATACCACCATTCCTAAGAGTCTGGAGTACGACTGGCTTCTGACGCTTGTCATCCCATGTGACGTCAATCGTGGAATCGTCCAGACATGGAATGATAGCAGTGCAAAAGCGGATAGTCTGACAAACTAACCCGGTCCAGAACCCGCTCAAGGCCTCGCAAGTGGTGTAGAGCCGCAGAGATACTGGTTTAGTCACATGTCTTATGTCGTCGCATTTAGACCTCACACTTCTTCTTCTTCTTCTTCTTCTTCTCTCAACATGCACAGCAACGAAGATGATTTGATAGTTGATAATTGATAGTCAAGAACTCTATCGCTTACACTACCGCTGCTCATGGCTTTGAATTGCGTAATCACATATCAAACTGAGGCCAAGATATCCAAGCGGCCACTCCATCCGCTCCCACTACCAAGGGACGCGATCATGAACCTGAACGCCCAGCTTTTGAGTCCTAAACGGACTTGCAGACATCCCAAACGGGTACTGAATCGTACAAAACCTACAAAGAAAAATCCGTCTCTCCATCCGCCGCATCACTCGTCACACCGCTGTATCGTTCCTGCCAGATAGGTCGCCCTTCGTGACGGATATTTATGTATAGTTTAGTTGTAGAACACGCTCTTCTGGAAGCTCTCGGGCGAAACGTCTCCAATCTTCGTCTTGATCTCCGGTCCCTTTTCGGGAGCGGCGCCGGTGAGCGAGTTGGTCCGGCTGCTGTCGCTAGGCGCACCCTTGATCGCAGCGAGGGGCTGACCAGGTCGCTTAATAACCTCGAGGTAGGTCGACGGGAGGTAGCCGGTACGGCCATCACGCGCGCGGCACTTCCACCACTCGCTAGGGTTGCCAATGGGATCGCTCTTGGAGAGAACAGCGACCAGATCGCCCTTGCGCACTTCCATATCGACGTCCTTGACGGCGTTGCCGGGCTGAGGAGCGTAGTCGTACAGCAAGCGGCAGTAATCAAGCTTGGACGGGTCCAGGGGCTGTTGCGCGCCGGCCAGAGCCATGCGGCGACGTTCTTCCTCCTCCGCAGATGCTGCCATGGTGTTGATCATCTTGCGCATCAGGTACGGGAGACCGAAAGCGGCAAGGAGGAAGAAGAAGAGCGGCTTGCGGGAAGCCTTGGGGGGTCCCAAGGGAGCACCGTCAGGGCCGATGGGCGAACGGCCTTCGAATTTGGCAAAGGCTGCTGGTGTGAGCGCGGTCGCGTCGGCTGGGGGTGGGCGGCCGGTGATCTTGGCGATGAGGGTGCGGATCCAACGCATCAGGGTGAAGATGCCGAGTATCGAGCCCAAGGTATCCCTAAGATTGCTGAACTGCTCTGCTACCGACACCATCGCTGTGATATTTGTTAGTCATATTTCGCCAGCATGCGACGCAGTTGACCTACCAAAGAAGCTCGAGTGTGTGGCCATGTATGTGCTCTCCAACATCTGAGCAAAGCCTCCAAAGGCACCAACAACACCCTCCAACATCTGGAATGTTGCCTGAGTGCTGTTGTTAAATCTGTTGGTAAGACTGTTCGGGTCGTTGGGTCCTCCCATGCCTCCCATACCGCCCATGCCCATACCGCCGCCGTACATGCCTCCTCCATACATGCCACCGCCGTAACCGCCGCCATACATGCCACCACCGTACATACCGCCGCCGTAGCCACCGTAGGAACCCATCCTTGAGTATGGGCTGCTGTATGGAGAAGAGTAGGCACCGCCGCCGTATGAGCCGTATGGACTGGCGGCCGCACCTAAGCCTGCTCTGCTATAAGCGGCAGCGTTCTGGTCTACCGCGGAGGCAAGAGAGGCAGGTCGTTCGGGAACGGCGGGCGGGGTACCACCGGAGAGGGATGTGGCCGGTGTCGGGGTCGCGATAGATGCGGCGGACATGGGTGTGACTAAAGTGGCCGTTAGCAAAATGTGTGAATTTGGCGACGGTCAAGGACCATTTGTGGTGTTCAACGCACTTGAGGCAGCTGTTGTTGGAGCACCGGCCCGTTCCCAGGGCTTTGGAGGGGAAGCCATAATTACTTTTCCCGCGAGGAAGAAGTTTTCCTTGGATACCGTGTGGTGTTGGTCGCTCGCTCGGCGTTATCTCGCAATCCGCCTATCGGGAGCGCAGCCGGTGGCGATTTTCTCGAGTCGTGTCGGTTTGCCGGTTGCTGCACGCTGGCTCCGGATATGCGCGACGGAGGCTGGCGTTTATCGGCCAAGTCGTCGGATTGAACTGACAATCAACCTCAATGGGAGATGCAGTGAAAATGAGGATTCCAACGACGTTTTGCGACGTGTTGTAGAGAGGAGAGGGGAAGATCGATTCGGGGACGGCCCACGGGTAAGAGAAAGCTGGAGGGTCACTGGGATGGCGGGAACAAGTTGGGCTCGCAGCGTAATGCACCTGAGTAATAATGGGGGCCGCGGCGGATGGGGACGTAGTCACAGTACTGAGTGCAGAGGCGGCGGGCAAGTGACCCGGAGGCTCGTGCTTGGCGGTTGGCAGTGAGGTGATGAGGAGAGGAAACTGGAGACTTTGGCCCTTTGGGGGAGGCTCGGGAGAGTCAGCGGTTGGAGGCGCAGAATGTCCCGTCAAAAAGATGGGGTCGGGGACGGGCGGGTCCCGCTCCTACTTTGCGTCCAGTGGCTTCCATTCTTGCCTCGGTATCTTTCACGTTAGTTCCGACGTGGGCGGCCTGGGCCTCGCAACCTTTGTTTTTCGCCGCTGCCGTGCCGCAGACACGTCCTTGGGCCGAGGCATCTTGCACCTTGGGGAAATTTGTCGTCCCTCCCGTCGCCATTTCGCATTAGCTTTACCGTTTCCAAGACCCTTGAATCTGGGGTTTCCCCGGTTGCTTGGGAACTTGACGCTTTGCTGAATTTGATGATCGACGATTCGCGCTGCAGAGTTGTTGCATTACATTACTAGAACTGACATGCAAACCCGTAGCGAACCAACTTGATCCGCGCTTCAATTCTTTCAACGAGATGACCCTTATTTCGACTTTCAAACGCAGGATGGGTTCCAAATACAGAGTCCACCAAGATCATACTGACATGAATTTATTCCATCGATTACTGTTTTTTTTTTCTTTCTTCATTGCAAGCTAACAAGCCAATCCGACATAGCAGACCAGACCTACGCCAGTCCAGAAAAGGCCTTGGCATTCTTCACATGCTCCTCCCACGTCGTCAACTTATCCTCGACAATCGCATGCGACTCGTCCAGCTTCTCCCCACCATAGTACCCAAACTCGTCGAGCAGCCTCATGTTTTGCAACATCTCCTCGGCCACGAACTCCGGCATCCCCTGCCCCTTGAGCGCGCCCTTGAACTGCTCGTGCGTGAGCTCGTTGAACCGCGCTGCCTTGCCGGCCTCCGGGTACACCTTCTTGAACGTCTCGACCGCCTCGCCCGCCGTGACGTAGCTCGTCGCCGCGTACACCCGCTTGCCGAGCACCTTTTCGCGATGCAGCACGATGCCCTTTACAAACTTGCCCGTGTCGGCCGCCGCGTCAAACAGGGGGATGGGCGCGCTGGCCGGCACGGGGAGGCTGAGGCCCCAGGCGTTGTCGGGCGGCGTCTGGCGGAACATGCCGCCGGGGAGGTTGGCCATGTAGAAGCCCGGGAGGAAGAAAGTTGTGGGGAGGGAGGTTGTGCGGATGTACTCCTCGACGGCGGCCTTGCTGTCAAAGTGATACACGTCGGGGAGGGCGCCCTTGGACACTAGTATTGCGTGACATGTTAGCTCCCCTGGATCCTTATTCGTAAAACGTGACATATGTACGTATGTATCTTCTCGGGAGTGGGCAGGCAGGTTACGTACGCTTGTTGACGTCGAGGAGGGAGCTGAAGATGAAATGCTCGACGCCAGCCTCCAGAGCCGCGTCGGCAATGTTCTTGCCCTGCTGAATCTCCAGCTCCTTGTCCATCTTGTCCCAGTAGTTGGTCACGGCGAAGACGGCTGAAGCGCCCTTGACAGCGGCAGCCAGCGAAGCCTTGTCACCGAGGTCGGCCTGGTTGAAGTCACAGCACTCGTCAGCATGTCAATTCCAACACCATCAAAAACAAGGCTATGAAGTCGCTTGAGAGCGAATTAGGACTTACAGCGACAACCTCGACGCCCTTGGCGGCGAGGGCCTTGGACGAGTCCTTGGTGGCATCGCGGGTGACGCCGCGGACCTGCCAGTCCTTGCTGAGCTTGGCGTCGTTGAGGAAGATGTTGACGACGCTGCCTCCCTGAGCGCCCGTGGCGCCGAACACGGTGATGATCTTCTTGGACATTGTCGTATGTATTGGGCGGTTTACTGTTGTGAAGACGATCTGTTTGATACAAATGTCAGTCAGATGGTGTTTGTCCTCGAGCATCACACTCTAACATTGGGGAGGTGTCGAATATCAAGTACCTTAATCTTGCGATTGAATTGGAGTAGTAAGAGTCAAAGTGTTGTTGGAATTGTAGCTTGATGATCTTCTCCAGGAATCAACGTCAATGAAGACAAGCGATCGTCCGGTCTTTATACACAATGGCGCTCATGAACCTCACTGCCCGCCCCTCCTCCAAGACGCATATGTCTCAGGACGTTGGTCATGTACATAGGCTAGACACACCTCGACATAAGCTACCAGATTAGGTAAAGCTAGGGCGCGCGGGAGAACCCCTCATCATCATGCACCTCCGTCTCACCCACAGTGTCGTTCCGTAGGTACTGAAAGGGTGGTGGTCTCGCAAGGCTGGAGAGGCCTCGCGCCCGCGCCCGCGCGCATACCTGTTCGCGCTGGACCGTTGGAAGGATTTCCTTCCCCTCTCCACCTTACCTCACCATACTATCATGAGTATGTAAGCGGCGAGCTGGTATGTACCTCTTACAGTCGATTTACAATCTACAAAAGTCTATCGTACTGGAGCCCCGCGCGAAATTTCGCGTACCCAGATGGGGGAAAACTGTATAAGCTACCTTACCTTTTGGTTGGACGACTACAAATCAAGAAGCTGTACGTGTTCCCGCAAGCCGTGCATGCTTACAATGTATAGGGTTTTGTACTACAGATTGAGCGTAGCTCTAATTCAGTTTCTATAGGCTACAGAATTCTGTAGACAGTACGCGCGCAGACAAAGGATACACCCTAGATGATTGCTCTGCTGGCTCTGTATCCGTAGGTAGGAAGGTAGATGCATGGTGGGGAACAGACTCCGGACCTCTCGCGCGGGAGCTTACAAAGCCTCGCGGTTCGCCGCGCCTGTGAGAACCACACCCCATCAAGGATCCGCGAGCTTCCAGCCCATACTTGTCATCCCTCTCCCCCAACCACGAAGCCGAAGCCGCGAGGGAAACATAGGGTGTGGCGCGCACCTTGGTGCTTCCCAATTTTCTCATTGTAATTCAAGATTAATCAGTCTCACTCGAATGAACTAGAAAGTTTAGGAATTCCACATTCGCCAAGAACACGTTGAAAAATGACAGTACGAGTCGCGCGCGGCATGGGCGAATACTCTTTCTGTACATTTGTCAGGCGCACGGAGGGTTAACCGGTTCGGATGTCCGTTCGTTGGCCGCCCCGGGTTCCGGAGTTTCCTGCAACGACCGGGACCTACCTACCACACTCACGCATTTACCACTATAGGTATTCGACAACGACTCTTCTTTTGTTCAAAACTTCAGATGCATTTGCCTTCCCCGGTCTCGCGCCACAATGACAAAGTCAGTGACATGTCAGGCACACAAACGTCTACGTCTGTTCTTGCGAGTGTCATCTGCCCTGCACCGGACAACTTGTGGCTTGTGGCGCGAGTGCGCTGTCTTCGGCGGAAAAGCCACAGAGCTGGGACTTCTTCACAAGGTGCAGCCACCCGGGACTAAAGGTGTGACATGTGACTTCCTTCAAGCAAGCCTCCGTGTTCTTTTGTGGGAAATGGCACGTCTAGTTATCGAAGAGTATATCTCGAGTCACAATGAGCATGAGCATAGTTAAAGGCACGCTTGGTTACTCTCAGAATTTTGGTATCAATTGATACCCCCTCCCTGTTGGAGAAGAAAACTCTCTGGCTGAACTGTCTTGCTAGAGAAAACCAATACTCTTGCCTCCTTTCCATAAAATCGTCAAAAAAAGGGCGCACTTTTCCGGGGCCGGTGGGTATCTTCGTCTTAGACGCCGTCTAATGTCGTTCCGCAATCCCCTTGCCCCCAAAGGCGAAGGTAACTAGTACCCTCGCATTTCGAAGAAAAAAAGAAGTCTGAAGTCATCGGATGTCGAAGATCCAATGCAAAAAGAAAAAGTCTTGCTTGGGCTCAATCCAGCGAGAAGAAGAAGAAAAAAGTCATCGTCAAACCCCCAATCCCATATATGCAAATCATGTACTTGTTGGAATACCATTCAAGTAGAAATCAAAACCGCGGAAACATTCAAGACGACAAAGCGAACAAGGAGACCCTGTTGCTCTTGCCGCCGGTGCTTGCGGTCGAGACAGAGTCGGCAGAGAGCCAGCCCTCCACCTGAGAGCGGGTGATGCCAGAGCTCAAGTTGACGCTAGAGTCCAACATCTTGACTGAGACCTGGCCAGAGTCACCATCTAGGACAACAGCGACCTTGGCGGGGGCGCCAGTAGGACGGTCGAAGTAGTCGGATGAGCCGCCAGGGACATTGGAGTGGATGGTTGACTTGCACTTGGTATCGCCAGTGGCGAGGACCTCGAGAACGTCGAGCTCACCACAAGCAGGCCAGCAGGAGCAAGTGCTGTACTGAGCAACACGGGGGATGCGAGCGTTGAGGAACCAAAGGGCGGACATGTCGGCGTTGAAACCAGTGGTTCCGTCGAGAGGCATGCTCAGCTCGAAGAGCCAGACTGAATCCTCACCCTTGAAACCGTCTAAAATGTGTAAGCAGACTGAAAGGTAGAACAAGATTCTATGAATTACTTACGGTATGCAACGGAGCCAGGGCGCGAATATCCGCAGCCACCATCATCGCATGACTTGTCGCTGGCGATCAAGAACTCCTGGTTGGACTTGAGGGTGATCGGCTTCAAGACCTCGGGTGAAGCGGCACCACCAGTACCCGCGGCATTCAGGTAGGACAAAGAGTTACCAAAGACGCTGTTCTCAGTCAGCACACTGTGACTCATGTACAAAGAATCATCTCAAAGTGACACTTACTTGTCAAACTTGCCAGAGAGCTGGCCTCCGTAGTTGCCAAGGAAGACGATGCCGTCAGCAACACCCTCATCAGCGTTGTAGTAGCCGACACGCTCGTAGTCACCACTGACGGAGCCAGATCCGGAGCCAGAGCTTGAAGCAGCTTTGGAGCTGGCAGGCTGAGGAACAGCAGCAGCGACAGGGGGCTGAGAGGGAGTGGGAGTTGGGCTAGGCGCAACAACAGGAGCGACAGCAGGGGTCGCAGCAGCAGCAGGGGGTGCCGCGGGGGTAGGGCCAAAGTAGTTGTTGATCCAGGATACGACCTTGCCGTCGATTTCCGCAACGACCCAGTCTTCACCACGCTTCTCCTCCTTGGGCTCCTCTTTGGGAGACTCGACCGACTTCTTGTGGAGGTGCTGGTGACCGTGATGGCCATGACGGCGAGCGTGGACGTGAGAAGCGGCAGGGGAGCGCTTGGCCTTGGAAGACAGGCTATAGATAGCAACCTGCTTCAGCTCCATGGGACCACGGAAGACGGGCATAAGCTAGCATTTTGTGAGTACTTGTGCGAACGTGTAAGTGAATGATGCCCAAAGAAAAAAAAAGCTTACCTCCTCATTGAAAGGGGCCAGGGGGCCTGAGAAAGCAACGTCCTCAAAGGTGCAAGAACCATCATCACCCATGTGGCTGACAGCCTTGTAAGTGCCAGGGTGACCGACATTGGAATACAAGATCTGATCAACAGCACCGCACCACCAGTTACCACCCTCTTCCTTGGCCGTGCCAGAGCACTGTTGAATGGCCTGGGTAACAGCGGCCGAAGCCAGCATGAGAACCGTGTAAGACTTCATGTTGTTCTAGTGTCGTTCTCGAAAAAAATGGTTGGAATGAATGTTTAGAAATTGAGCTTTGCTGGGAAATTGGAGTGAGTTCCTCTGGATATTTGACCGGCCTCAAAGAGAATCGCAAGTGGCTGGTAAAAGTGATGTAGGAATGTCCCAGTGGTGTATGGATAGGGCCCAGATTGTTCTTTGACTCGACTTGCGAGGTGTGACTGGGTTTGTTAGGAATGTTGGCGTACTCAGTGAACCCTGTTCAACGGTGTGGCGTGTCTTGTCTCTGAATCAAGGACCAGGTGAGACCAAGGGTTGAGTGCGTGAATAAGGAATGACTTGAGACGAGGAGTCTCTTGGAAGGAGAGTCGATGCTATTCGATAGCCGGCAGGTCGAAGTTGTGTTTTACCACTGGATCGTGGGGGGGAAAAGAGAAGAAGAGAAAATCCGGGATAAGGTGAGTGTGGGAGGGCTGAGTTAATAAATCGACCTAAGCAAACGAGGAAGTTGCAAGAAGGCGCATCTCGGGGAACAAGGTTAATGGGTGGATGGAGAAGGGTAGGATCCAATCTGAGGTGGGTGGACTTTGGCCCTGGTGGATAGGTACGGAGTATGGATGCTGGTGGGCAGACGGGCAGGCACGAACTGCAGAAAGGCAGGAGCAGACCTGCTTCTGGGCGGGCAGGAACCAACCTACAGGGGGGGTCCAGTCGCTCCTTCCCTTGATTTTTGAAGGTGAATTGGATATTAACACGCCTCACCGCGGCAAGTGCCTCCTCCCATCCTTCCTTTCCTCCTTCCTTCTCTGCAGACTGCAAGTGAGGAAGGAGGAGTCCAGGAACAGAAAAAAGCCGTTGCATCATTGGACGAAAGAGGGAAACAGAACAGAATGGACCAATCCGGGCTTGGTTTTTTTATGAAACACTGGCTTGGCTCTCCATGGGGTCGTACCTTGCAGCTATTGGCAGGGGAGGGCCGAGCTAACCTCAATCTCACTTCAGGCCCAGCAACGATACTTTTCTCCCTCAGCTTCGCCCGCGGCTCCCTTCGTACCTCTGTTGGTCAACTCGCTGGTGCCGTGTTGCATCTTGACCGCGGCCAGCGGCTGCAGCAGCTGAGCAGACTGTTGTCATCCATACGCCGTCCGGAATATGGTGATGTGAGAGCCACCGTAAACGCCAAGGGCCAAGCCCGGCCGTTTCGCTCTTCTCAATGAGGCTTGGAGAGAGACAACCAACCACCACCCGGCACGCCCAGCTAGACTTCCTCGGCGTTCTGGGCTCTAATTTTGAGGGCGATGCAAATGCAACATTCGAGGACAACAATGCCGCCAGCTTGTGCCCGACAGGGCAACGAGGGGGATGATATCAAAGCAGCAAGAAATAGGGCCAGACCCGTCGCGATAGATCAGCAGAGCAATACGAAGAATACTATATGCCCCCGGCTTTGCCACGCCCTGAGAACACTTGGATCAGGTGACGGTCTCGGCATTGCTGCTCGAGGCTGGGGGATCATTTCGGCTCCCCAGAAACCTGATCCGTCGTTCTTCAGAAGTTCAGGTCCGCACAGAGACGTTGTTCCGAACATCTGCAGCTGCTTTTTGGAAACAAGGAGTCCACTTCAGGCTTATTACTAAAGACTACCCTCGCTAGTCAGCAATTGCAACACACCAGAAGTAGAGCGTCAAAGATAGCCTGAGAGGTGCCATTGCAGCGCTCTCGAGCCCTCCTCAATTTGACTTCAGTCAGTTCATCGCCAGGGGTTATCGCCCCCGCCAATTTTCGGGGGATTTGGGGGTGGCAGTGACAGCGCCGGCGTTGCTGCGTCTGTGTGTGCTGACCCTGAAAAGGTGACAAGCAAGATCAAGCGCGATTCAAGCTTACCGTGGTGTGCGCCCGGTGTCCTCCAAGGTGTGTCCCCATCTCAAGTCCGACGGGGACCCCTCGCTCGCCATGGGTTCATCCCAACGGCAGTGACATCTGGAATCCTCATATCGCCCCAATCAACACGCCCGTCCGATATCACTCAATCCACAGAGCGGTCCATCTCATCCGATGTTTAATCGCGCAGACAACTCTCAACAACAGGCACCATCCCGACACCACCGTACCGCCCAACCCATGCTGCGACACCGCGGAAGGACGGGTTGGGCCTCGCCTCCAGTGGTTCTTAGTCTTACTTTTGCGCTTCAACCCGTTCCAACCTCCGGCACCACGAGGATGAAGTCGACGATCCCTCTGCTCCTTCTCATTAAGATTGAGTGCTACCCGGCTTTGTTGATCCGTTCTAGATCCGTCCTGTGACGGACGGCCTTGATTGCTCAAGTTGCCTGAGTCGCAACCCTAGTCGCGATGGCTGGCCAGAAAAGCAAAAATCCCTGGACAAAACGTACCGCGGGACGAAAGGAAAATTTCCGAGGCAACAAAAAACAAAAAAGCCTAAACCTGGGAAAACCGCTCATCTGCCTACTCCACCGACCGTCCCTTGCGACCCGTCGTGCCACATGGCGGTCTCGCGGCATTGGTTCTTTTCATCACCACGTTGACGTCGTTGATCCGCAGGTCCAGTCGTGGGACTCGGTGCAATCTGCTGTTACAAGGCAAAAAGAGGGACAGCCTGACCAGACCCCTTGTGTTGGTGACGACGCGAGCGAGGTTATCAGAAGAAAAGGATTGATGACTAGACAAATCGGCACTACTGAGTAAACAACAAAGTAATCCGAAGCGAGGCCGTCTTTCATAAGCCGGAAGCCGTTGATGACTGAAAGTCAAAATCATCGCCAACCGTCCACGACTTTGGCGTTCGCTGTTCCTGCATTAGCGGAAACGCCTACCCGGACCGTTTCCATTGGCTGCCCTGGACTTCTCATCTGCATTTGCGCACTCTATTCTCGCCGTGGCGAATGCTTATTCGACAACAGCGTTGCGCAGTCACTGTTGCTGATCATCCTCTGCGCTGCTGTGCAGTCCAGGCGGCAGGTCGGGTCAGGGCGCACCACGTTGAATATGCCGGCACATCACCAAGGTTCTACCGTTCTTCGGACGTGGACGAGTCAATTTCTTCGGACCTACAGTAGAAGCCAGTGCTCTCATCTTGCATGCGTCCACGTCCCACGAGATATCTGACTGGCGGAAAACTTTGAGCCTTTGCAGTGGACCACCGGGGTTCTCGAGTAGCTGGTATCCGGACCATCGCCCAGCTCCACGCACACGGCATTTCTGCGGTGTATCCGTACACCCAACCAACACGTGAGAAACCTGCAAAGTTCGTCGTCTCGAGGAGATCTTCGCCTACCGAACGTCTCAACCGTACCCCGCCACGTGAAAACTTGAAAAGATTCTGCCTTAACCCCTCCGTCCGATTGGCATTCGGAGAACTAGTTCTTCCCACTTTAACTCATGATATTCCACCCCAGATCTAGTCTCGGCACGTGCCCGACTAAGAACGAGGTTAAAGTACAACGTCGTACCTGAAAATCACTTCTCGAAAATCGGGTTTGGCAATGGAATCCCCTTCAGCCCTAAAGAGAGGTTCGGCGCTTACTTAGTAGGCTCGGTCGATACATGCCCGCAGTCTGAAGAGACTTGGGAGAAGAGGATTTAATCCAATTGTAGATTCTATCATCCAGAGCTTCATTGGGTCAAGTCGCCACCTGGGTCTTCTCTTCCTTCGGGCAAATGCCGTTTACTACCTGTTACCTTGTGACTCACTCATACATATGCAGGTACAGAAGATTTTATCACTCGAGCCCGAAGTTGAGAGATTTTGTGCTTTACTGCGCGATTTCAATCACCGTCTTATCGCCACAGCGGAGTTTTGGCAGCGAGAAGATTGGGTTTTGGGAGCCAAGTCATGGTTTTCTTGACTCGAGGCCGTTGGCTCAAATGCTTTTTTCCATGAACCCTGGTGATACATCGTCTTCTCGTTCCCTAATACTTGCTGGCCATCACCTTGTTGCTTGAAATCCACAAACATATCGAGGTTACATGGGCATTCCGTAGTACCGCAAGCAAGATGACGCAAAAATGGATGGAAGCCAAGTTTGTGGTTTCGATTAAGCAGAGGTGACTACGCAGATGCCTTGGCCTTCTTTCCGCGTCGGGCTCTACCACTTCGACCACCCTGCTCATTCTCCTCCTCCACCTCACCATCGACAAATTCATCCTCATCCTCAGCAGCCGCCGTCCTAGCCCTAGCTTTCCTCTTCCCCGTAGCTCTGGTCGGCGCCGCCATGTTAGCAGCAGAAGCTCCGCCCTCCTGCTCCTCATCACCCGGCTGCTCCCCATTGGCATTAGCCCTCAACCGACTCACAGCATTGGCCATCCTCTTGCTCGTCGTGCCCTTCTGCCTCGGCGCAAACGCGTCCCTCGCGCCAACGCCGACCGCACCCTCAAAGTACCTCGTGATATTCGTCTGCGTACCCTCAATGTCGCGCTTATTCATGTCCCGGATCACGGGCACCAGCACCTCGTCGGTGCGATCCTTGCTCCACCCAATCGTCGCCATCAAAAACTGCCGCAGACCCTCGAGGTCCGGAACGCCCCACTGGAAGTGCTCCGGGCTGTCGTCGACCTCTGGCCGGACGTAGGCGTCCGTGACGGCCGGATTGGGGAACCCCGCCGGCAAGAACAGCTTCGTGCCCTGCGACTTGCGGAACTTGCGGCGGAAAGGCGATCCCGCGTCCGCCTCCTTGGGTCGGTTATTCAGCTGTACGTCCGCCCACCACTCCTTAAACTGGATGAGGCCGTCTTTGCCGGGGAACTCGGAGAGGATCTCCACGGCCGTGACGGGACCGACGCCGGGCAAGCCCTCGGTGTAATCGGAGCCCAGAAGCTGGGCAATGGCGATGAGCTGGTCCCGCGAGAGCGAGAGCTCCTTTTCGAGGTCCGAACCGAGGTAGCACTCGACGAACTTGTTACTGTTGAACATGTTCTTGTAGATGCGCGTGCCACCAAAGAGGAAGCAATCCGAGTCGTCGGTGACGATGCCGTCCACCAGGCCCAGACGCACCAACTCCGCACACTGCGCTTCCGCCTCCATCGGTGCGGTGATGTAGGGGATACCAAAGAGGCGAAGGAGAGCCTGGCACTCGGTGACCATGACCTGCGTGACCTCATCGGCATCACGGCGGTCCTTCTTCTGCTGCGTGCGCAGCGCCTTGAGTTCCTTTTCGTATGCCTCCTTGTTCTCTTGCTCCGACTTGTTGTTTAGCTCGCTGGCGAAGCGGGCGTGCTCTTCGGCTTCCTGCGCCAGGTTGGCAAAGAGCTCCTCATCTTCCGGGTCACTGAACTCATCGTCGCTTTCGGCAAAGACGGCCGCTTCGGCGTCATGCACTGGATCCCCGGCCGTGTTGGGGTCGTCGAGCGTGGGCCCGTCCATGAGTTCTTCAAACGTGAGTTCGTGCTCTTCTTCTTCTTCGACGGGTTTCGGTTCTTCTGCGTTGATAGTAACATCTTCCATTACTGAGTCCGGAGGGGAATCAGGACGTTGTGGCTCGGCGACATCTTCCATCTCTGGTTCGGGGGAGTCAGGGACTGCCGTGACAGTGACCTCCACGTCTTCGTCAACTTCTTCAGGCTGAACGTCTTCAAATTCGACTTCAGGAGGCTGAGATGAGTTGCGTGACGGTGCATCTGCCTTTTCTGACGGCGCAGTCGTGACATCTTCTTCCTTCTCAGGCTCGAGCTCTGCGTTTGTAGCGGCATCGGCAGCGTCGGGTTCATCTAGGAAAGTTATTTCTTCCTGGGAAGCAGCATGCTTCGGAGGTGGAGGCGCGTCAAGAATCTCAACGTCGTCGTCTTCGTCATCAGAGGACTGAATCTCGATGAGCTGGTTTTGCCGTTGACGCTCAAACCTCCGCTCCTCCTCCTGTGCGGCCTCTCTATCTTCCGTGTTGATTTCACTCTCCACTTGCCGCTGTTGCTTAATCGACTCTCGGATATCCGTATTGTCCACCATCCAGGGAGGTAGAGGCTTGGGACGATCTTCTTCTGGCCCTCTTTCAAAGCCACCTTCGTCATCTTCATCGCCAGCGGGCTGCTCTTCAGCGCCATCAGCCAAGAAACCGCCACCGAATTGGGCATCACCATCTTCGCGTGCAGGTTCTTGCAAACTTTTCGCCGGCTCCTTTGGGGCTCCCTTCTCGGGCTTCTTTGACTGAGCCTTCATAGAGAAGAGAGAGGGGCCCCATGCGAGTTTAGGGAATGGTAGTGGGCCATCGAATGGGTTCTTGACGTTGGGCACTGCAGGTTTGGGCAGTACTCGTTTCTTTTGTCGAGAGGCTTTCAAAGCCGCCTGCAAGTCCATCTCTCCGTCGCTGCTGCTGGCACTGTTGGCGCGCTTCCTTGGCACCGCAGCATTGGACCTGTTGTTGACAATATGGGCAACCATGCGACCGCTCCTCGCGGCAATCGGCTTCGGTGCCTCCACAGCCTTCTGCTTCCATTCAGGTGCCTCCAACTCCACATCGTCAAACTGCTCATCCTCCTCGGACTTTTCAGCAGCTTCTCCGTGCTGGTTTTGCAGTGACATGGCAATGGCTCGGTTGATGTCGTCTTCTTCTTCTGGGTGCATTGCCTCATCGTCACGTTGCCTGGCAACATTTCTGACATGGGCTTCCGGCAAATCACCATCGACGAAAAGACTCTCCTCCTCCTCTTCGAATAAGTCGTTCACTTCACTGCTTCCTCGGTTTCCATGTAATTGTTGCCTCTGGATAGCTGCTTGCCAGGATGCTTGTGCGGCTGCGCTGGAAGGCATCTTGGGCAGCCGGTTCAGGCCCTCGACTGGAACATCTTCAAAGTCGTCTTCCTCTTCAGATGCCTCTGCCTTTTCTTTTGGCTGAAATTGAAAGTCCAAGGCATCGACATCAATAGGCTTATGAGCTTCGCCGAGATCTTTCTCTTTGCTCACAACTCCCAGGGCCCAGCCACCTTCCGCGCCGTCATTCTTGACTAGGATGTACTCCCTGTCTTTTTCACCAGCGATTCTCCCGCCACCGTTCAGAGTAAGATCAAGACCAGTCATGCCGGCTTCTTTCATGAGGCGCTGTGTCAAATTGTTCCTTTCCCGAACTCTTTCGATTTGAAATCTTGAGAAATCCATGCGATTCGGAAACATCTCATCAAGCTGCTCCTTGCTCAAGCCCATCCTCAAACGACTGCGGAGTCTTGCCGCATTCAAGATGTTGTATCTATCAGCTGCCGGTAAGCTTCGAAAGAACTCGCCATCAAAGTCGATCTTGCTAAAGTCGTAGAGATTGATGTCTTCGCCGTTATGGAACTGTCGGGCATATTCTTCCAACTCTTCAATGCTCATAATTCTAGGATCATCCGCCTTGGCCATGGATGCAATATCACCATCCATCTCGGGCAAGTGATATGCATCCTGCTTGAAAAACTTTCTCGTCTTTTGACGCTCTTGCTGCGACATGCCGACCTCGTCAACGTAAACAATCTGTTCCATATCAGGTATAGCCTCCTGCGGCTCCTCTCGCTCGCGTTGGATGCCTCGATCCGCATCGCGCTTCCTCCTGTCCTCCTCCTCCTCGGCGATCCGCTGCATCTGCACAGCCAGCAGCTTCCCAGCCGTGCGGACGGCATCCTCCCTCCGACCCTCGCGCCGCTGCTTACGGCCCTGGATCGTCTGGCGCTTGAGCACGGGAGCCCCGCCGTCAAAGACGAAGACGGGCTTGATGCCGAACCACAGCAGCTTACAGATGCGGCGGAAGAAGCCAACAACGTGCGAGTTGCGCAGGGCATTGCCCTCCTTGTCACGCACCGCCTTGAGGAATTGGTATATCCAGATGGAGGCATCAACGGCGAGGCGCTTTCGGTTGAGGGTCGCGAGGTTCGTCGGGCGCGCGCAGGGCTGCACGACGGTCCAGAGGCCGTTCACACCCATGGCGTTGGCGGGAGGGCAAAGCCGGCACCTTTGATTCGGAGTTCACGGAGGGGTCGGCTTCAGAAGGTGTCAGGTGCTGCGAGAAGCGCTCTCCTCATCTACCGAGTGTATATAGCATTGTAGAAGATGGGCGCTACGTCCTTGTACAGTCAAAATAGCACAGATGTAAGTGTGGCGGTTGTGAAAAGTGAACGAGGTTACGAGTTTGTGAAGAATGAAGGCGGCCGCAGCTGCCTGTAAGCCATTTGAAATGGGAGCTCAAGGTCATGACGCGCTTGCCTCCACTAGAGGCGTCTTTATCAATGCTTATCGATTGGCTACAGATTCAAGCGGCGGGGCACGAACCTCACCCGCTAGCAAACACCGCCAAAGGGGACTGTTCGCAATTGCGCCGTCTATGCGCCATCCCATTCTTGCAGAGAACCTTCACTCTCCCCGACGTCTGGAAAAGCAATGTCCAACATTGCCGTCAACCAGTCGCCATGGAAAAACAGGAGGGAAGAGATTTTCTGACCTCGCTTCTCAACAAGAACCTGCGCGTCCTGGCTACTGATGGCCGCATGTTCCTTGGCCAATTCAAGTGCACCGATCCGGTAAATCACCACCCCTCCAAACCCTAAGCCCCTCCCCTTATGGGCTCCCCTCGTCAAGATCGTTTTGCTAACAAATGCCATCTTCAAATTTGCAGGATCGCAACGTAGTGTTAGCTCACACGTACGAATACCGGCAGCCATCAGCGCAGCAACGGGCCGAAGCCGCCAAGAAGGCTACAGAGGGAACGGCTTCGGTCACGATGGACATGACGTCCCGGTACCTGGGCTTGGTCGTGGTGCCCGGGCAGTACATCGTGAAGATTGAAGTAGAAGAATTCGCGAGTCAGATCGGGGGCCGGAATCCATACGCCGACGTTGTCGTGTAGGTCTCGAAGCTCGTTGACCATTTGCGTGGCTAGACGGGTGGTGAATGAATAATGAAGCACTGAACATTGCTGGCGCGGAGACATACAGACTTCATTAAGTATTACGCGGCATGTACAGACGCAGTGTATCGTCTGGGTATGAAATACTGGACATTAGAAGCTGAAAATAAGGCACTATCTTAAACCATCCTATTTCACCGTAGCAAGTCAACTTCGACTAGATTACCGAGGTACCGATTCCTAAACACCTGCACCAAACGCTTTCCTTGGCTTTTGCCAATACCCGAACATTACTGCCATTACGAGCTATGTGCTCAATGCCGTCCAATACCAACAGCAGGGAGGGTTGACTCAAGTTCAGAGACATTCAGTTATCGTCTCATGCGACAACGCTTTCATGCTGGCGGCCTCTCGTCTCGCCGCCGAGACCGTCATCGGTGCCAACAGCAGAGTGGTGAATATCATCCTCCTCCTCATCCTCGTCGCTGTACTCGGTTTCCTTGTTGTGGGCCCGCGTCCACGAAGAGTCGTCGTTCAACGGAACATCTTGCCCCGAAAGGTCATGACCTCCCTCAGCACGTGCCCTAATGTTGTTTCTGCGGCGCGTTGACAGGGTGCGTGCACGAGTTGACAGCTTGGAAGACACGGCAGCTTGGGATGTGACCCAGTTGGTCAAAGCATCCTCGCAATCCTGGATGATGGCCTTGCTAGCCTCGTATCCGTCGTAAGCTGCACGCGTCTCTCCGGGAGTGACGGGGGTGTCGTCAATCAGCTCGAGCAGGTGCTTTCCATAGCCGGCAACAATGGCAACCTTTTCGCAGTGCTCTCTCAGGGCATCAAATTGGTAGGTATAAGCAGCCTTGATTTTCTCGCGCGTGATGTTGGATAGCTGAGCCTCTGCGACCAATGATTCAGCCTCGGCACGCACCAGCTCCTGCTCAAGAACGACAATCTTGGGGGAGTTGGGCTCCTTGTACTTGAGCTGAGCGATCTGGTCGGTGATCTTTTGCTTGCCTAAGGTTAATGTTAGTTAGGCACCGATACCGCGTGCGTCACAAAGGATGGAGCTTACGGTCTCGGCTGGGTTGGACGGAGGCTTCAATGTTACGAATGCTCTTGATTGTAACACGGTATTGATCATAACGGTCGACGTATTGGTCCTCGAGTTCACCGATTTCGTAGAGCAGAACTCCAAGCTTGTCGGTTACATCAGATACATCCTCGTCGCAAGCCTCGCCCCAAATGGAAAGTTGTTGCTAGAAAATTGAAGTCAGCAAATGTATGACGGGACGATGGAATCTTCGGATGACTTACAGCCACCTCCATACGCTCTCTTGCTACCTGCTCGAGACTGCGCATGACGTTCTTCTCCATCTTAACCAGCTGAGACAGCTTCTTTGCGAGGTCTGGACCGAAGGCACCAGCTGACTTGTGGCGGAGGGCATGACCTGGATTGGCTTATTAGCCCATTGAGCTTCCCTGATGGATATGATTGGAGTGGCACGGCGCAAAAGTGGCAAGCGATGGAGAAAACACTACTTACCAAATCCTCCCTTGAACAGGCGACCAGATTTGGTGGAAGAAGGCGGCGGAGGCGGGTTCTACGAACACGGTAAGCACCATACCATACATCGAAGGCTGTCATGAAATTGGGCGCATACCTGGATCTGCGAGGCGGTGGGCGCCCGCGACTGGCGCATGGAGTATGTGCGATGCATGATGTCGGGAGTGACGTTGACTGATAGCAGTGGCGGTGGTAAGACAGCGTCGGCGGTGTGAAGTCGTTGCAGACAATCGATCTGTGTATCTAGGAGAATAAAGCTTCAATGCAGTGATGCGCTGGGAAGCAGGGTATCGCGGGGTGTGACAAGGGGTATGAGCGGGAAGAGATCGAATGGAGGTCGGGTCAAAGAAGGCGTGGGGATGAAGCGAGGCCGGGTGTTTATATGTAGGCGCCGGAAAGGCTCCAGTGGTGTGGTCTACTGCGTAAGGCAAGGGGAGGTTAGGTTGTTGCGGAGGCGACGGGACTTTGAGGTGACGGGACGGACAACACAAGGTGCGCGTACTTCGTTCCTACCTTACGCAGTGAAAGGTAGGCCCCCAGTGGGAGAGGTGACGGTCTGGCGGGGAGTGTGTGTGTGCCGTCCCCCCTTGAATGGTCGTCCCCCTCAGTGCCTCTTTCGCGTTGACGACGTCATCTGTGTCTTTAGCTCGACTTTTTGGCGTTGTTCGCAGCGTCACCCAGCTAACCTGGTGCCTGCAGGCCTGCGTAGGTACAAGACGAGTGCCCCACACTAGAGGTATTGACGGCATGCTTTTTCAGCTGAAATCGGCCTGTCATCGTCGTCGAAAGCTACAATCCCTAAAGCTCTAATCAAAGTCACTCCTCATTGCGGTCTAGCCCGGCCTACGTTAGCTGAAAGGTGCAGGCGAAGACCTGCTAAGTTACCTGACACCGAGCAATCCATGCGTGCGGCCTGCCGTGGTTGGGAGGGAGAAGGACAGGCAGGGCCAGACATATCCCCCATTCGAATTTCAAAAAGCACAGCCATGATGATCGCCCTCCGGGATGGCGCCGTCTCTACGAACCCTTCGCCCAATGTGGGTTCATGAAACGGACGGCTGGGGCTCTAGGGGACCGACTTGGGAAGTTGGGATGAGGAAGACAGCAAGCTTTCGACGCAAGCTGCAAGAAAGGACCCATCAACCCATGCCTACCTGTTCCCATTACCAGGCCACCTGCAGGTCCCGACGGGGGTTGGACTATTGAACTGAGCAGCACGCAGGTGGGCTGGGATGGATCATGGATTGGTCCATCTTAGCTTTTTTAACCTTTTGACTGCCATCTAGGCATTCGTGCGGTTAAGATGCGGTAGAGGACCATCAATTCTCAATTCCCATCACTGCCCAGAGTCTTGCTCCAATGCCCAAGTAAGTACATGAGTTCGTTCCTGTTCATCATCGAGGCCATCAGGCCGTCAGGCTCAAGAACATAAACTACCTTACATCATAAGCAAAGACATTCCTTAAGATAGAACCGAATCGCTCTCAAAACGTCTCCATCTTGCCAGTGGACACATCAAATCAAATTGTCGTCCAAGGTTTGTGATGCTAGCGCCGCATGCCGTCCGCTTCGGCACGGCCTGCTCCAGATATTTGGAGGCTAGGCCGACTGTGCTTGGCCGTGCAATGTGCGATGATTTCATCGATTCCTCTTTGACTGCGCGAACCATTCCTTAGCGCCGCCTTCTCCCGTTGGTCCGTTCTTCCAATTTCCAAACACACCTCATATGCTTTGGCAGCATCATGGCCGGATTAATCCTATCCGGTTGTCAGGGGTTTTTACACTAGCTACGGATACTCCAGTCTTGTCCATGATTGCCGGTAGCATGACTCAGCACAAGTCGTCTCCCATTGCCTGTTAAATATTATCTTACCTAAGGTAGGTAGCAAGCTCAGGAACTCATGGATAGCAGCAGTAATGGCAATTCACAACCGACTAGATATCGATACTGTACACACCAAAAAAATCATATCTTCCGGCTGCGTTCTTGCATCGCCTTGAAAATGATAACCTCATTAGATTCGGCTACACACCCCACATCCAGTACCTGGTCCAACACAATATATCATGATGTGATCAACTTAGCACAATCAGCTGTCGTAAGCTTCAATGACGGAGACTTACCCAACGAACGGTAGGCATAGAGAAACTCAAGATTGGCTGTTTCTTTATTCAAGGTACTCAGTGATTCCGCCCTTCGAATGGCATGCTCTCCTATCTTTCCATGAGGAAGCCGAGACGACTTGGGGTATGTTTATTCGAAGTGTGCAACGTTCTTGAGTAAAGATAAAAGTTTAGGGTTGTGTGAAGAGACGATATCAGATTTGACTATCAATCGCGTGCCTGCGAGGGTTGACACCTCTGAATGTTGAACTCCGCAATGCAAAGCCGGGCTATCTACCCTATCAAGGTCTAAACTATGCACTTTCCTCTCTCGCTATGTTTACCCTAGTTGTCTTGAGTTAATTCACTCGACAATTACAGGAATTAGTCTTTGTGTGTCTACTTATGTGTGAAACTAGTTGGTAAAGTGCATTGCCTGCGGTACCTCATAGAGACAAGGCTGTTGTAGAAGACGACTTACTATCTGCGCGGTAATAACGTTTCGCCTCTCTTTACAAGACACTCAACCCAGGCGGAAATTGACAGCCAGACGTTAGAATCCGGTGCACGGTTCCCCTTTGTGTCGAACCCGAAACTCAACAAGTTGGCTCAAGGAGTCAAGGAATAACAGTTGGAACAAATAATTGACCATCCCGATTAGTATCGTGGTAGGTAAGGTAATCAAGCAAGTTGGCGAGGTACTTGAGTATCTTTGACGTTTGAAGGCAATGGTCTCTTAGTTATCCAGCTTGGTAAGTCCCTGCCTGAGACGTGGTAACAAGCTAGCATGTTCTGCCGCAACACCTCGAAATAGGAACTGAAACTTAGTGAATGCCTAAAAACGATTGGGGAAAAAGAAGGTTTCCATTTGGCATCTTTTACTCGATAGTCAAAGTCTTTAGAGATTGTTGCGACAGGCCGCAATGCACGGAAAAAGAAGGAGCCAGACAATATCTGAGCCGGGATTGCGAACAGCTCGAAGCGCAATCCCTGCTCCCCGCCCCAGTTTCGGCCTAGTGCCTTGCAATCTCTCCCTCCAACTCTTTCCTTTCATGAACGCGCTTAGCCTCGCAGTTCACCAACGCGTCTCACAATATCTCATCTTCTCTCATCATCAACCTCATCTCACAAAGTCCACTTTCGTGATCTTCGTGGACCGCCACTCCCTTTTTTCATCGCCATCAACCCTCAACTTTTTTAATTTGACTCAACTTCACCAGCGGCTCATTATTGTGGCGGCCTAGCATGGTACTTCCATAGTCAATGTTTACAGGCTTTGCTTACGCTGACAACGGGGAAAGAGGGCATGGTGAGCGACCGTGTCTTTTGTCTGTGTTCGCGCACGCAAGTGAGGAGGACGTAGCAGAGGCCATCAGAGACGGGGAAAGAAGGCGCCGCCACCGTCGCTTTCTTTGCGCCCCTGCCTTAATCACTTGAGGTGTCCTTCGACATGTCCCCCTTCCGCGCTGGGTCCGACCGGGACCATCCTTCGCGAAAAGGTCCCTACATCGACTACGCCAGATTTCTCCCACTCAACACCGATCCCGCCTCCACCCACTACATGAACCGCGCTCAGGCTGAGCCACCGTTTCGCGATCAAGAAGAGTCTAGGAAAAAGATCGATATCATCGATCTAACCCTCAACTCAAGTCCCGTATCACGATCCTCCATTCATCACCAATTGGATGCCGATCGCGCGCCACCCCTCAGAACCAAGGTTGAGAGTCAAGGCCCTCCGGGTTTTTCTCTGGGCCTTGCGCATAGCCTTTCGGATCCGAGCGGCGGCTCAACCGCCGCTTCCAGCAATGCCGCCTCAGTCCTGGATCCTTCGCCACCGCCAGTATCCGTTCAACCTTCGGTCTCATCAATCGACCTGGAGGACGGCCTAAACGGCGAGATGCCTCGACCGCCACGACTTGAGGCGTCGTTGAAAACGCCTCAGCAGGTGACGCCGCCGTCATCTACGCGGCCCTCGAGCCATCAGTCTCCCAAGCAAGCCGCCATTTCCAAGAAGCAGACCCCGAAAAAAGACGTTTCTGATGTCCGGCAAATCATTACCTCGCTGCGGGGTTACTCAGCCGATATCAGCAATGTGCATTCGCAACTGTGTCTCTATGCTCTCAGGTCTACCAAACCTGTCGAGACGCGCGTGAAGACCGGCATAGATTACTTTGCTGATGTTAAACTGGCCCCGGCTGATGCTGAGAAAACGGGGACCACCATGACTATCCGGGCCAAGGTGAGTCAAAACGTTGTTTTCGGGCATCCCGAAGACTTTACTGTTTTCAAAACATGCACGTAACTAACCTATCTAAAGCAACATTTCCGTGGGAGAAAGGTGGATACTCTCAGAGCTACGCACTACCTCCCAGTGTGTGTCAAGTCCGACAAGCCTGCCGTGCCCAGGTATCGTTTCCATCATACGGAAATCATCAAGAATGTATTGTCCCCCAACTCGATGCTCAAGTTCGTGCCCGTCATTCGAGACCTCGACCCTGACGAGGAGCGAGATTACAATCTCTGGCTTGGTGAACTGGAGAGAATGGACAAAAGCTGTGGATTCGAGACTCTCGGCAGTCGTGACCAACGGGTCGCCCGGACTATCAAAAAGGAAAGGACTGCGACGCTATCACTATTCTTGGACTCATGGCTCAGAAAGATCGCTATCGACAACTGTAATCGAACTACCTTGATTCGCCACATGGCAAGTTCAAATTCCGATGATGCTATCACGCCACAGCAGAAGACGAGTCTGGTCAACCTACACAGCGACGACAACATGGCCGCGACTACGCCAAGGGCTTTGAAAGCTGCGAGGGTGTTCACGGAGGCATTTGACCAAGTCTTTTACCATGACGCTCCTAAAGGAAAGGAAATTCTCCTCCGCGACGTTCTGAAACTTGACAAGTCCGTCGATGAGATTGTCGAATCGAAGAAGACAGCAAAGGGTGGACAAGACGACAGCGAAAAAGTAGACTCTTTGGAGCAATGGATCGAAACTCACACGGTTATGGGCTGTCTCATATGCTACAGCAATTCGTGCGAGCATGGAGACTACAGCATTGAGAACCACAAGCGCAATTTCTCTATGGATTGCATCGGCATGTACGGGCGTATGTTCTCAGCAAATCGCACGGTATCCTCTAGTGATCCGGTAGAGCCGCTGGAGCCTCCTCCGCCGTGCGAAAGACAGTGCTTCCAGATCTATGGTACCGGCAGCGCTGATGCGCAGGGGAAGCCATGGACCAAAGATGAGACTCTCTTGCTACGCAGCTTGTTCACGATCTTGGATCATAACAAGGTCCGAGTCAAGGCTCAATGCGCTACGGCTGAAATTCTCAACAGAGACTGCCGGGACGTTCATCGCCATCTGCAATCTTTGGACATCAGGCTTCCGCCCATTGAAACGATCGATCAGCCGAGGGCCAAAAACTTTCCTTGGTACGATCGCAAGAGAAAGATGCTCTTGGGCGACTGGCAGGCAGAGACCAACTCTCATGATACCAAGGTCCGCCCATCCAACGACCCATGCCATCACGAAGGCCCTTGCTCGAAAGAAAACGACTGCCCATGTGCGCTGAATGACATTTTGTGTGAGCGCTTCTGCCGTTGCACGGAGGAGTGTTGCGCTTGGAAATTTACAGGTTGCGGGTGCCATGGCAGCGGCAAAACGTGTTTGCAGAAACAGAAGGAGGGCCGTCCTTGTATTTGCGTACAGTTGAATCGCGAGTGCGATCCCGACCTTTGCGGAAGCTGCGGTGCTGTTGAGCGAGCTGATCCTGAAAACCGACACGACGACGCGCTCTTCCAGACCGGTTGCCAGAATACCGCCATTCAACGAGGTGTCAGCAAAGCAGTCGTCCTTGGCAAGAGTCAATTGGAAGGCTGTGGGTACGGTCTGTTCACTGCAGAAGACATCGCACAGGACGAATTCGTGATTGAGTACACGGGAGAACTCATCGTGGCAGACGAAGGAGTCAGAAGAGAGGCACGCCGCGGCGAGGCTTTCTCCGTAGAGAAGAGCACATCATATGTGTTCAGTCTCTTAGATTACGAAGGCATCTGGGTCGACGCTGCTATCTACGGCAATCTCAGTCGCTACATCAACCATGCTGTAGAAAATGCCAATGTTCAGCCTGGCATTCTCTACGTGAATGGCGAATACCGTATCCGGTTTTCGGCAACTCGCAACATCAAGGCTGGCGAGGAGCTTTTCTTCAACTACGGCGAAAACTTTCCTAATCTTACTAAGAAGATGATCAAGGAGAAGGCCGACATTGAAGGAGACGCAGAGTCTGGAGCAGAAGAAGGAATTATACCGGTCAAACGGGGCCGAGGCGGGCGCCGAAAGACAGTCAATGGCACGCAGAAATCAGCTGCCCAGAAACTCGCCACGGCGAAAATTGCGAAAAGCGTTCGCACAGGAGCTCGGAAAGAGGCGCCGCAGGTGACGATAGACGATTACGAAGCTTTGGCCGACGTCGACGCGGCACCGAATGCAAGCCGGAAGCGGAAGCGCGTCGCGAAGAGCGATGATGAGGATGAAGACTTTCATCCGTCCTTGGAATCAGAAGAGAATGCTGAAGGACGAGCCAAGGGAAAGCGGCCAGCCGTATCTCGTCGCCGAAGCGGAATACAACGTGTCAGATCAATGGGTTCCATTATACCCTCAGACTCAGAGGCAGATGGTTCCCAGCGAACAACCCCTCGTAAGCGTGGACGGGCACGTCCTAATAGTTCTCACGGTGTTGGCAATTCTCAAACAACTGCAAAAACTTCGGTAAACCCCGAGAAACCAGCAGTTAACACGCCGCCTCCGAAGAAGAGGCGCGGACGCCCGCCGAAGAATCCTCGTCCGCCGAGCCCAGCCGTGGAAAAGCCACAAGAAATGGAGCACGTTGAAAATGAGATTCGCGCCAGTCCGCTTCTCACCCGGAACCCTGAAGCAGAGGGTGGCACGATCTCGGTTGACTTGAGCCAGCCTTCGAGGTCTGCACGGGGTCGCAAGTTCACAACGTCTACTCTCAGTCAGTCTGTTGAGGATCCTATGGATGTGGACGAAGCTGAGGCAGAGATCGACGCGACTCCTTCGCGGTCTAGAGGTCGACGGAGGGCTGAGGGGAATTCGATCACGGCTCGTGGGGCATCTCGGGGTGGCCACACATCTGTGTCAAGAGCGCGTCGTATGCCTACCGAATCGGATGCTGTCGTGGACTCGGACGAAGAGCCCCTCACTCTCACTCCATCATCCCGAAGGAAGCGGATGCAAAAAAGGGTTCTTGGACCTTTGGAGGTGAACGACAGCGAGTCCAGCTTTAAAATGCCTGGCGTTGGTTCAGACTCCGATGATGATGATGACGACGATGACGACATTGTTGGTCTCAAACGCACTTCTAGGCAAAGGAAACTTCCAGCTCGATTCCGTTCATCCGACGAGGAGTCTTGACAATCAAAGGAAGCATGACCCATCGATTGGGGTGACTGCAGCGCGGACGAACATCAACTGAGCGCTAATCTGCAGTTACAAAGCATGCTATGATGGATGAGTTAGGATGGTGGGGAGGTAATTGAGGTCGCATTTTGCATTCAGAGAAGGCATGTAGTTGACGGGCTCCTCAAGTCATACGGAGCTTGGTTTTGGGTGACGGCGGCATCTTCCCGGGTCTACATTTTTTTCAGGCGTATTCAGGAGTACAAAGCATACATATCTCATGCCGCGGACGGAATGCTTAACAACGTCTTGCCAGGGCAGATGCATTATCCACCGAATATACGTACTTGCATAGATCATGGGACTTCTCAATATGCCCTCTTCCAATGTGCCTGAATTGCTGGCTAATCACTGCTTCGTGGCTGTCAGACTTTACGTTCGGTTCAACACCCGCCGTCAGAGGTTCAACTACCACTCCTCATCGCCCCTTCTTCAAGCCAAGTGAGAAGCGAAATTATGTAAAAGAAGCCGAGAATTTTAGTGGCTTGTCCTTATGTTACACTATATGTCCTGACCTATTGTACTAGAGAGAAAAAGATGCGTTCGCGGACTTGCGGGAGACGGCCTCGGAAGGCGGTAATGGGTACGCCACCAGCCCCGTGCCGTGGTGTCGGTCTTGGATGAAAGATGAAATCTTCAGAGAGTGACGCGCAGCTAGGGGTAGACCCTGACTGTCATGCTGGTGAGAATGCCGTGCGTGTTGCTGTTACCGCCACCGAAGGTTTTAGTGCCTTAATTGGTCACCGTAGTACGTCTGCATATCCCCCTTGGAACCCATTTGTGAATGCCATCCATCATACTCTTCGGCCAACCCTCTACGGACCAGATGTCTGAAGTCTATGATCGTCTTAGCTTTGCGAGACTACAGTTGACACGGCCATTTCCATCCCGATGTCTCTTTTTTCTCAACGTGAACTTGCGTCAACCCTTAGATCTGCCTGCAAGGTGGCCGGCCACATAAATAAACTTCATCAGGTATTTCTTGTCGTTGAGACAACCACTCGTATCAAGTGAGCATCGGCTCCTACTGCCATCAAGAAATGCCGATGACCTGATTCCAATGACCTCGCAGCAAAAAAGTATACAACCTCAACTCATTCTGACGCCAGCTGAGAAGATCCACGGGAAGGCTCAACCCGTGCTAGTAGCTGGGCCGAAACGGATCTCGACTTGGACGCATGACACTAGAGCTGGACAGACTTCACACGAGACAAGAAATGCCCCCCCCCCCCTTTTACCACCTTCGACACGCAATTTTAATAGAGTATAGTGGGCGGAACGAGCCGCAAAAGACAAAGTTCATAGAACCATGGACCGAAGAGATCGTTCCATCATTAGACGGGTCCATCCGGCTCCCATGCCAGATATGCATCCAGTCTCATGCCTCAAGAATCCATCACCGTCAGGGTCTCATCACCCAAAGCCCCCCATATCTTTTTAAACCACACAGCTCGCCGATTTTCTCGAAGCCTCGTACGCAACGACGCCAGACCAATTGTGCCGGCGCAGTTGGCCGAGTGGTTGTGCGCGCAGCTTTCCCGGGGTCATCCGCGCCTCTGGTATCTTTGTGGGTGGGGCGTCCATCTGCTTCGGCTGGTGGGCTCGACTCCTGCAAAAGGACCAAGGGGGAGGATGATCTTTTTTCTCTCTGTCTTTCTGTCCACTTTCTTATCGTAGGTATGCGGAAGAATTGTATGCTCTGAGAAAGTTGTCTGGTTTTCGCTGCTTACTTGTAGCAAATCTCGGCCCGCTCAAGGCAAGGCAAGATAAGAAAGATGAATATTTAATAGATTACCGCCATCTGGGAACTTCTTGTCGCTTCTAGACTTCCGAAGATGAAAGCCGTCCAACCGGGGGTCATGTAGCCTGAAGTCTCATAATTCAGGCTTTGAAGTGAGGGATTTTAGCGAGCAAAGCGGCCGGATTGGCTTGAGAACCCATCCAGAAGAACACGGCATAACAGCGGTACTGGTGGCTATGACACGGCGATGCATCGCCGTCGCTCCATTTCATTTGATAGATATTAGACTGAGTAGCGATAGAAACTTGATTTCTGATCAGTCCAACCTACACTAATGCATGCTCGTCCAAATCTCGTCTTCACATAGGTTTCCAGATGATGTTGATCCACAATTATGTAGCTAAACTTAGAGTTCCGGGAACTAAATGAAGCAATTGCTTGGCACGCTATCCTCTTCAACGACACCCTTATTACCGTATTCGTAGATGGATTTATTCAAATTTTAATAGCAGGCCTTTTTATTTTCAGAGACCAACAACAATCATGTTGTCCTTGCAAACACCCAGGTAAAACTTGGGTCATTTGTCAAACCAATTCGCAGCTCAAAGTCCTGCGGAGGCCTCCCAACACCATATACGCCTACACTTCAAGTATATACAACCCACAGCTCGATATCATACACTCACTCACTCAGTCACTCAGCCCGTGCGCTGTGCGCTCAGCTGGCTATCTCTTGAAGAACTTCTTCTCGACTATACGCAGCACCACGTAGGAAACTGACGCAAAGGAAAAGGCTAGTTCAAAGCCAATGTCGCCGCCAAAGCTTCCGCCGGCGAGCTTGCCAATGGGACCGGTGAACCAGCTTTGTGACATGCCGAGCACGGCACCCATGACGCCCATCAAGAAAGCCACGATGGCCGCAAATCCGGGGGGCAGCCGCGAAGGCGTATCCCAGTCATTGATGTCGTACCCTCTGATGCCGCGACGGAAAACGACGTGATCAGTGAGACTGACTCCCTCGTAGATGGCGAGCCAGTAAGCGATGATGAGCATGAAGTTCTCGAGCCAGGATTCGAAGTGGTCGTAGCCCGGAATGCTGATGGCGATGTAAATGCCAGTCCCGACAAAGACCCAGATGAATCGGGGGATACGCTCGGTCTTTCTGGACAAGACCTGAAGAGAGAGCGAGACAGAGTAGATGTTCGGGCAATTGTTGGCGATGATCGAAAGGGCGAGGATGACGAGGCAGAACTGGCCGAAGCCACCCAGCTTGGTGACCAGAACGGCTGCCAATAGACCTCCGATTCCAGAGTTGGCGTAGGCGTCGGAAAACGTAGGGTCGGTGACGCTGGCGGTCATTACGGCGGCTCCTAGCAACTCGGTGAAGCACAGGGTAAAGAAGAGGCCGCAGAAGGTGACGAGGAAGACCTTCATCCGGGAGGTGGACGCTGGGTAGTAGCACGTGTAATCGGCCGCGTAGGATGTCCAACCTGTCGCGAAGCCGTAGACGCTAGCGGAGAAGGAGAGGACAGAGCCCGCCTCTGACGGGCCAGTGCTCATGGGCAGCATGCTGTTGAACTTGCCCGAGTGCGCAAAGACGCCGAGAACGATGAGGAAGATGATGGCGCAGGGGATCCAAGAGAATCGCTCGTAGGTGTGGACAATTCGGTAGCCAAAGGTGCAGATCATCAGAGTTGAGATGGCAATAACGAGGATACCAGCCCACCCAGGCATATTGTTGTTGACCGCATGGAAGAGTTGAGCACCGACGATGGTGTTGACTGCCGACCAACCGAGACAGGCAAGGATATTGAAGATCGCAACTAGTTCAACCAGTCAGTAAGGCCATGACGATTTGGCAGATAGTTACATACTCAGCTTGACAGCGTAAAAGCCAAACCAGTAACGGGACAGGACCATTTGTCGCAAACCGAATGTGGGGCCGAAAGTCGAGAAGAAGCAGACCGGTAAGACTCCCAGAAAGTTGATAAAGATGATGGTCAAAGCCGTATCAACAAAACCGAGACTGAAGACTGGAATAGCCAAAACACCAATGGCAAAGGATGAGACTACCATGTTGGCAGAGCACCACTGTGAAATGGTCAGGATGGTTTCCTGGCGGAATGAGCGCAGCCATCAAGCTGGACTTACCAACGTTCCGACGTTGGCGACGGCATCGTTGATTCGTTCGTCTTCGGGGACCCTTTCGATGCCTCTCTGCTCGACACCAAGCTTGCCAGCCAGCCTTTGCAGTCTCGCGTAGGTGCTGGTTCCGGTTGCGAAGTCGGCCTGGTGGACGGCATGATCATCCCCCAAGAAGCCTCGTTCGACATCGGTTGCTGATTTCTTTTCCCCGCCAGTCGACGAAATGTCGCTCTTGGTCTCGAATATAGCCATATCTGGACTGTGGTGATTCCCGTGAGGTTGGTGATGAGATTGAATCTAGTTCACCGACAGCTCATTGCTTTCCCCGAAGACGGACTGAGAATGGTAGACCGGGGGGAGGGGGGGAGGTTCGTGGGCGGGATACCGGCAGAGAGGAGCAGATGCTCAAAGCACTGGTGAACTATGAGGGGATGAGACTGGGAGATCCACGAAGCCGCCAGAACATGTAGTGGCAAGCCGAGTAGTAATATTCATTGCGGAAAGTGGAGGAACCCTTATCAGGGCGCGACAGACGGCGGACCGCGGAATACCCAGATTTCTGGAGTCTAGATACAGCCTCAGTCGTGGGCTTTTGCAGAGCACACACCAAGTCCTGACGCGAAACTGGTGTAGGTGGGGGACATGGAGCGATCAAGATAAGAACCGCGGCATTGAAGAGCCTTTGATGGCCCACCGACGCGTCCTTGATGGCGGGACTGGTGTGGTTCGGAAGGTGGCCGGCACTTGACAGCCGTTTGGGATAGGTTCGGCAAGGGGAACTGGAGCTCTCGAAGTAAGCTAGAAGAAGAACTGGGAGGCAAAGTTCGGGTGTTCCGGGCTGATCTGCCCAATGGCGAATTTCGAATGGGCAATGATTCTGGATACTTGTTGGTCACTATGGAGGCAGTCAGGCGATAGTTGCGGAGGCCGTAGCCCGTAGGTCAGGGCTTGACGTGCTTCTTCGAGACAACTCTGATTTTTGACCTTTTATTTTCATTTTTGCTGATTATTTGGCAGAGGGTATCACCCCACGGTTCGAAAAAGGAGGCGTATTTCCCTGAGTGGACGCATTGCAGAGTGCCATCCGTGCTGATAGCAAGCAGGGATTGGCTACCCAGGTTTTTGTTAGTCCGTGAACCTGCAACACGGGAGGCAAAATGGGAGAGGCCCGGTGAGTAAATCCGAAGAGTCGAGAGTTGCTGAAGATGCCTTATCTTGGCCGACGAATCTGAACGATAAGATAGACCAGGATTGAGGGGATTACAAGGACTGCAATTGGTTATTGGAGACCAGTATGTCCGCTATGGGGCCGAGTCTAGCTGCCGCAGAGCCGAAAGCATGAAAAGACGAGAGATTGGTGATGATCTTGTTTGGCTTCCATGCGGACTAGAGTCTAGCGCAAGAGATGAAGTTTGGGGTCTCCAGATGGGGGAGAGGATTGAAGAGCGCCCGGGTCCGAAGTCTGGAGATAGGAGGTGCCCGTCAAATCTTATCGTGCTTGCTTTGATCGACACTTGAGGGCAGCAGGAACTATCCGCAGGAAGAGACCGAAACATCAATATCCGGCACGATAGGTATCCTTACATAGTACGGCGTAGCGAGTCGTGACCACTGGCAGTGACCACGAGTTATGACTTGTGAGTGGTGACTGGTGAGATGCATCGCGAAAAAGGGAAGGGCCGCCCACAACTTCCCGTCCCAGGGTTCGTGCCCACAAAGCTTAGCTTTTTGCAAAGGGAAGGCGTGGCTTGGCAATAATCCACAAGCCACATGTGGCGGTGGGTGCACAGCCAGCAGAGGTCCTTCCAAGATGAATGAATACCGAACACCTCTTCCATTCACATAACATCTCTGTTCCTCAGCCTCGACTCCCTCATAATTCAAGTATTCCGACATGATGAACAACTCGGTCCGCCTACCTCACCCGAACAACTATGGTTGCATTTGCGGCAAAGCAGGTGCAGGCAGAGTCGTGGCCCGGCCCGTATTCGCAGATATGAAGGAAAGCCTGTCTGTCAACTGATCTCTTTACATTCCATCGAACCCCAGGTTCTGAACGGGCTGCTTCAGCGCCATACTTGAGAAGGTCGGGGAATCTCGTAACATCTCGATCAATTCCCGCTCAAATTGTCTTGATGCCAGTCATGGCCTGGACTGTACTTCGATGGCCTCCAGCCCCCTTTTGAGCTTCCATTGGTGCAATGACGCCTCTTCCTGAAGAAGGCATTTGACGAATTCTCTGCGCAACTATTCCATATCCTGACTACCTACTCGGGAATAGCTGGAGCTCGACACGCGTTTCGATCACAGGACAATAAACAACTGAGAGCGCGAGGATTTGGTTCATGCAGCGTCTAGACGAGCCATTGGCACCATGTTTTCGAGGTGTTACCTCATTGAACGTGTTGGCCTCAAAATGTTACGCAACATACACAACCCCCATCCTGCAAACGGCACGACGTGGGGTGACACCAAGCAACCCAACCACAGATGGACATGTCTGGCTCTGGTTGGTATCCGTACGGATACATGGAACACGTCGTGGTCACCGACCGTTCACACTGGTGCAGCGGATTCCGGCAGCTATCAAGGCTCCTTGCTGGAAGCAGAAGCAACACTTTTGAGCACAGAAGTCTGGAAGAGGCCAAGTCGAGGCTACAGATGCCTACTACGACGGGCTGTCCTACGATTTCGTCGTCCTGAAACCAAGGGGATGCAGGGCAGTGAGACTTTACCCTATCGTCCGATAACACCATTCGGGGCGCTCCCTTCAGACCTCTCGTGGGATTCAGACCTGTCCAACGACGTCGTCCAAGCTTCTGCCGCTAACTCTCTTCGCACCAACACGGATGACTGCCAAGGAAAGCTGTTGGGGGCATCTTCCATCGTCCTGACGCTCACAACGCTGGCCCCTCACTGTTTGCGGTCGGGTCGTTCGTTGCATGGACTCGAGAGTCGAACGGACGGCGAAAGCTCGATATCAGCGTTGAACAAAGAAGATTCAGCAGCCTCCCGTCAGCCATGGCGCGATTCAAACGGCGATTGGACCAAGACTGCGTCGTGAACACGAGGGAGAGCCACGCCGCGTCGCTGCCCACCAAGACTCACGATCCCGCTCAGAGTTTGAATTGTCAGAATGCAATCTCATCAGAGGTCTCAGCAGCAAGCCAAGGCGAACCTTGTTTATCATCGTCTAATGTCCAACGCGATCAACACATTGGGAAAAAGCATGGACGACATTTCCCAAACATTTGCTTTTTGGTTGCAGTAAGGCTGGGCGCCTTTGACGGTAACGGCCGTTTGTTTGCACTCTACGGAGTATTCTCATACCACATGCTTGAGTCGGTCATCAACTTTCTCTTGCGTCTGGGTGCCTCTCAGCCACAGTTTCTATTCTTGTCCCACATATCGCCTCCCCGAGCTCGCCGGCTGCGACCCCCGCGCCTCAGTTTCTTCGTCAGAATCTTCGTATGCCTCAGCTCCCCACCACAACAGCGCCAAACCTCCCCTGTCCTAGTCCCACGCCCTCAGCTCGTGCTAATGGCACAGACAATGTTTCCCAGATTCCCAGCATTCTCGGTCCCTGCCGACCACTACCCAGCGTGCTAGCCATCTTGGAGAACTCGTTCGCGACAAATTGCCAGTAGCGTTTGCTTCCCTTCACAAGGTCTCGGCCAAAGCGATTGAATGTCGCCGGTCCAGTAGACCATCACCCACGAGGTACAACCCTACGTCCCCCGGCAATAGCCCTGGTTTGGTAGATCTTGATCCATCAGACTCGATTTCGTTTGTACACTTGGCAGTCCATCCCCGGTCAATCTCTCCTCTGTAGAACGGAGCACCTGCTATCCCCTCCTGTGCCAGAATGAGAGGCAAAGGTTACCACAGCTGCTACAAGACCGATGGCACCAGGCATCGTGTATCCGACTGGTAAATTTCAAGCTGCCGTGTCTGAGTGATGCACATTAATCTTGCCAGATGATGGATCGTGGGTTGGGGGGACTTGTCAGGCCCATGTCGTCTGTATTTCTCCCTTCCATCTGTAATTGCTTTCCAGAACAAGCGGCCCCTCGTAAACCTCCAGCACCCCTGGGTTTCCAGATGACTGCGACGGGCGGCAGATGGACGTTGACTAACGGCCGGAGCAAGAAGCTGCAAGGCGTGGCGCGGACTAACGCCGTCACCCTTGGGCTGCCGATGGGCTTCCCCATCAGAGCAGGATGCTTGTGTACGAAGTACATCTTGTTTTGTTTGTCCATATTAAATAGCATTCCTCCCGCCCTGTCGTCACCCAGACTCGACCCCACTGCATTCCGTGAGATACCTGGTTTGTAACAGCTTCATAAAGAAGTCTCTTGGCCTCTTCCGCTTTCCCGTCTCTTTACTCGTTCCTCACTTGTTTCCTCCCTGTGTTCCCTCGCTACCTTTCAACCTCTATCGCTGCCTTCAACAAAGCGACGATTTGGGTTCCCAATTTCATCAGATATCTCGGATAAAGTCAAAGTCACCGACACAACAACCACAACAAACAAACACCAACTCGCCCGGCTCTTTTTTGACATCATATCTAGAGGGAAAAAATGCAGTTCCCGGCGGTCTTCTCCATGGTTCTCGCCATTGCCTCTCTCAGCGCCTTCGTCCAGGCTCGCCCATCTCCCTGTCCCGATGTTCGTCGTCTCCTCCTCCAACCCCTTCGGTGCCCACCGCAATATCACGAAGAGATTCTGACTTTTTTCATATATAGTGGAAGCGAGATGACATCCTCAACGGCAAAGCCAGCCCTGAGATTTGCTGCTCATACGGCGTCTGCAAGGGTGATGTCGTCGTCATGAGCGGTTGAATGCAGAGAATCGTTTCCATCAGAAGCTCAAAGGTCAACAACACCTCTGCAACATGAACAGGCGCCAAAACATCGTCAAAGCGTTTCATTCAACGTTAACACGACGACGATGAAAGGCCGCCCACCACCACCACCACCACAACACCCTACCTATCACACAAAGCCAGAGTCGACTAGAACGACATGCACATATCGGCATTCACATACGGGCCCATCCCCCTCAACAAGTCAGATAGATACGGCGTTTTACGGGCGCAACCTAGGGTTTCCCACAAATTGGAGCCCTTGCTTTTTTGCAGGACCAGGGATTAGCAGACTTCCTATTCGGGATTGGACGACGGACACCGACCACAGACATGCAGATGCACGCAGCACATCCACCACACTTCGGTCTGGCCATGCGTATCTTCGTCGGGTATCTTGAGAACACATTCTTCTTCCTCTTTCGACGAATGGGAAGAGTCGGTCGGAGTTCCGCTGCCCCCTTCTCACCCTCTCGGCCTTCAAGAAAGAGTTTCTTGGGCGGTCGGGCGGCGGAGTGAGACGGCTGCACCGGGCTCACACTAGACACGACTACATGATTATTTTGCTAGCTATTGGGTCATCTTACCGAGAATGAGCTGTCAGGACATGACAAGGTCATAAATCGACCTCCGGGGAAAAGGACATCTTCAGATAGAGAGTATTGAAGAAATTAAAATAAAACCTACCATGAAATCATGCACATAATCGTCACGGTCTTGACAGATCATACCATCATCAATCACATGCTAAAAAACAAAAGTATAGACATAAGTGATTTCAGACTTATTTTCAGAAAGGAGTTACGGATCCACGGGATACAGAAAAGTACATGTTTGGTGCTGACTGGGGCGCCTCTCGGAGACATTTTCTCTTCTCTCTCTGACTCTTTGCTCACCTTCCCCCCCATGTTGCCCGTCCATTGGCCACTGTCTCGTATTGCAAACATCGGTCCATTGGGGTGGCTTTTCGTTTTGCACGATAAGCGTCCCGCATATTCGGTACGAGAACAGGCCGTCTAGCGGGTGTTCCAACTTCCACCTCACGACACAGGACCGCATTCGTCGATTTTCCACGAGTTTGTTTGCCAACCTTGAAGGTTGAGCCCCATCGTACGTTTTTTTTCATGGCTTGACTCAGCGATGTTTGATCTCACACTCAACCACATAACCTCACCTTGACATCACCCAGACGTGCAAGGTGGGCTAACGCCAATGCTTCACGAGGCTGTTCCGGCGAGAAATGTCTCTGTCGAGACGACGAACCCGTATGAGCCCTACGACAAGGCTTAGTGAGCTGTTCGTTCACCTTTCGTCACAGCCGTACCCGCAATCACAAGGAAGTCCACGACCATGACCAAAGTGGGGGGACGAGAGGGTATAGACCAGAGAAGAAGGGGGTGAAACGAAAACTCACAGAAATATTGTAAAGGCACACCTCGGGAGCCCCAGGCGTCCCGGTCCCGCAACAGTCCTCAATCAAGATGCAATCCCACCCGGCATTATACGCATCCGTCAGCGTGCCGAGGACGCACTGGTCGGTATTCACCCCGGCGAAGAGCAGCGTTCGTATCTCTCCTGCTGCCCTTCCCTTCCCGGTCCCGGAGGCAGCCTCCTCACCATCATTAGCATCCTCCCGAGTCCGCTCCAGATACCTCCGAAGCGGCTGCTCTGGGGTCCACATCCCCGACATCCTATTCTTGTCGCACCGCACGTCCTCCTCCGGGCGGAGGCTGCTCCGCTTCAGCGGCTCGTAAATGTCGGCATTCCACTCGCCCGCGACGAGGCAGCGGCCCATGCCGTCGCCGAGATCTGCGCCGAGGCCGAGGCGGGCGACGGTGCCCTTGTCATTGGTCGTCTCCTCACCCAGGATGAGCGATCGCGAGAAGCCGCGTTGAACGCTGGCGGGCATCCGCGCCAGGTCGTCGTCGGTCAGGCCCCAATTTAGCCAAATTACCTACAATAGCAAAAAAAGTGAGCTGCGATACGTCGCTTGTTTAACCGCCACTACCCCAGCAAAAGTTCCCTCCCCCAATCCCCTTCCAGGCATCTAACCCCCGCGTGCCCCTCATCTCTGTAATGTCTAGCGACTCCTGCTACTGTACCTCCGGAAAGACGGGCGGTAACGTCTGCCGGATGCCCCGAACGTCCGAATAGGGCGGGGGGGGGGGAGTAGTATAGAATGGGGTCAAGGCCGTACCTGAATACCTAATTCGCGGCATTTCTCAACAACCCTCTTGGTCTGCTCCACCGCAGCCAGCCCGGCCGGGTGGTCTCGACAGCTGGGATGCAAAAAGTAGTTTTGCATATCGACAATCACGAGCGCCGTGCTGTGGGGGTTCACCGAAACCGACGTCCCCGCTGGTCCTTGGCTGGTGCCGACCTTCCAAGCCGGCGACCGGCCCCGGGTGAGATCATAGGTTCGCGACGGTCTGTCGTAGTGCCACTCGTCGCCCGGCGGGCCAAAGGTCAAGTCTGGGCGCATGACAAAGGTGCGAAAAGGGTCCGAGTTTTTTCCTCGGATATTCTAGTCCCGACAGCGGCGGGTACAGCTCACTTCTTGCCCCGATTGCGGGTAATAAATGGTCTGGAGCGATTGGACGGGTGTTAATGTCACTGAGTGTGTGTAGGTTGAAGAAGAAAAGGTCAGATTTCATTCATGCAGTACCAAGAAGTCGGTAGATAAGAAATCCCGCAGAGCGCGCACAAAGCAGCAACGCATTGCAGCGCTTGTATCGGATGGAGGTGTCAAAAGCCTGGCCTATCTATCAGTTCTTCGGGAAGATGTGCGTCGGCGCGGCTATCGTCCGACCCCGCGGCCAACAAGAGTTGCCTGGCCTACTGCAGGACGAGAAACAGACACAGTCTCATATGTCAACAGCATGAGGTTCTGACTGCATCAGTATGCACGGCAGCAAATTTCCAAGCATATAATTAGCTTTCGGGAGCGCGTCTGGGCGTAATGAGACGATGAAAGTTAAGAAAGACTTCCCCATGGAGGCGCATCTCGAAAAGGGAGGTATAGGACCGAGGCACGATGTTCACTGCTACCTAAGGCGTCTGCCGCATGCGACTCCCCGATGATTAAGGCGAAGTTGGAATGGGGGTAATTCGGGGCCGACCTCCAGAATATTTTGGAGCTAGATGAGATGGGGAAGGGAGGGGGAGGGGGTTCATGTTTTCGTGGAGCTAATAAAGGATCTTGCGTCGGCCGCAGTCGCGATTCGTGGAGCGCCATGGTCCTAAGCAAGCGACGATACGACGACAAGGGAAAGGCGATGGTCGACCATAAACCGTAAAGATGCGGAAGCCCAACGAAGTCCCCTGGTTCGGATACCACGTGAACGCAAAAGAAAAATCCCCGTGGCGCGTGTGTTGAGATGGTTGCCCCTCCCGGCGTGCCTGGACCTGGAAAAGCGCGAGACGTGCCGCTTGGTTGTATCCGTAGTGAGACTATATGAGAGAAAGCGTAGAATGTCAGTGAGCTTGTCGCGGGGAATGGTATATGTCGGGTACGGATCGTCATCGTGATTGGAGCGGAAAGTCGCAAAGAGGAAGAATCGGTCTTACAGCGACCGAACGATTCCCACAACGCGGCAGCGCCCCACCCCTGCCAACAAGCTTCGACCCTGCGTGACGTTTCGACGTGGGGAACTGGGGTCAAACTATTCGCCTTGGGCGACGAGGGGTGATGAGGGGCTGGATTCGAATAATTGTTGACCAAAGGGCCGACGAAGCTGCTGGATTGTCGGCCGACCCAGAAAAATAAAAATAAAAAAATCCACGTGTAGCTCCAAGGTATATATCCAGCCGGGCGACTGTCCGGTCGTGTGTCGTTGTGCTCCAGTCCGCTCTACTCTCCCTCCTCTCAGCCCGCTTCGTCTGTTCTGTTCGTCCATACCCTCGACTCAGGTTCTCGCCGTTGCTGTCGCTGTCAGTCGTCTCGTCAGTCTCGCACCCACGTTTCACACCCCACCGACACATCATACTCTTACCTAGCAAGAGAACACTCTTCTGGACCGTTCTTTCAGATCACTCCTCGCACACAGAGACAACCCAGCTTTCATAATGTCCCCTTCAGCTGTTGATCCTCCCGCCTCGGTCGGCTCCGTTAAGGTGTCTAAGGCCAACATTGGTGTCTACACCAACCCCGCACACGACCTGTGGATCAACGAGGCCGAGCCCAAGTTGGAAGCCGTTCAGGCCGGCGAGGGACTGCAGCATGGCGAAGTCACGGTAGCCATCAGAAGCACCGGTATTTGCGGGTAAGGATTTTCATGCTAGACAAGAGTGCCCCTCGATAACGCAAGGACGAGACTAATGGAGAGATACAGGTCCGACGTTCACTTCTGGAAGCACGGATGCATCGGACCCATGATTGTCGATGGCGACCACATTCTCGGCCACGAGTCCGCCGGTGAGATCCTCGCCGTCCACCCTAGCGTCACCCACCTCAAGGTTGGCGACAGAGTCGCCGTCGAGCCGAACGTCATCTGCAACTCCTGCGAGCCCTGTTTGACCGGTCGTTACAACGGTTGCGAGAAGGTCCAGTTCCTGTCCACCCCGCCGGTGCCTGGCCTGCTGCGACGATACGTTAACCACCCTGCTGTCTGGTGCCACAAGATCGGCAACATGTCATATGAGAACGGTGCCATGCTGGAGCCCCTGAGTGTCGCCCTCGCCGGTATGCAGCGTGCCGGTGTGCGCCTTGGCGATCCGGTTCTCGTCTGCGGTGCCGGCCCTATTGGCCTCATCACCCTTCTCTGCGCCAAGGCTGCCGGTGCCTGCCCGCTGGTTGTCACGGATATTGACGACGGACGTCTGGCTTTTGCTAAGGAGCTGGTGCCCACGGCCATCACCCACAAGGTCGGTCGTGGAACCGCCGAGGAAGAGGCCAAGCGCATTGTTGAGTCCTTTGGAGGTGTTGAGCCGGCCGTCGTTATGGAGTGCACTGGTGTTGAGAGCAGCATTGCTTCGGCTGTTTGGGCCTGCAAGTTTGGTGGAAAGGTCTTCATTATCGGTGTTGGTCGCAACGAGATCAGCTTCCCCTTCATGCGCGCCAGCGTTCGCGAGGTCGATATTCAACTGCAGTACCGCTACTGCAACACTTGGCCCAGAGCCATCCGTTTGGTGGAGAGCGGTGTTGTTGACCTCAGCAAGCTAGTGACACACAAGTTCAAGCTCGAGGATGCCCTCGGCGCCTTCGAAGCGGCTAAGGACCCCAAGTCAGGCGCTATTAAGGTCATGATCCAGAGCTTGGACTAAACCAAGCCTGATGGTTAGACGACACGATTGATTTTTTGGGCATAATATGGCGGTGCTGGCGATTTGGTGTCACGGATGGGTTTTTGACTATATTTTAGAGATATGTTCCCAATGAATTCGTATGACAATATGAAGCTTTCATCAGATTGACGATGCTTGTTTGTAGGCAGGGATGTGGATTGTTGTGTTGGCGATGGTGATGGTGTTGGTATTGAGAGTGAAGTGAGGTAGTGATGGGGATGATGGGATTTGGGGGTTGTAAGTCAGTGACAAACTGCTTCCATAAAAGGTAAATTACCCTTGAAATGGAACAGGTGATAATGTAGGAGGTATCCATTCATGGCAAGAACCCGTTCTGCCCCAGCACCTGCCGGTGAACCTTTTCTCACTCAATGGATCTCACCAGTGAACTGTGCCTGCCTGCACCTGTGAACTGCCCTGTCACGGCTGCCAGCACTGAAAAGAGCCCCCACTTCCCTTGGGAAGATCCACTTTGTGATTGGTTAGATCTTAAAGCGGCATAGTCCGCTGGGCCGACGGGTGCCAGCGTCTCTTTCCCCTGGGAGCAAGGGAAAAAAGGTACCTTATTCCTTGTACCTGACCTTACCAATTGACATTTTTCATACGCAAGAAAAGAGAAGGGCGCACGGGCCATCGCTCCTCCGGCTCGCAACAACAGCACAAGCGAAATCTTCCGAGAGGTCGGGCAGACTCTGGCAAGAGAGACAGAGAGAGCTCTTTTTTTCACTTTACGCAAAAAACATCACTCACCACCCCCTTCCCATCAATTGGCAGCCAACGAAGCTCCTTCTTCGACCCCGGAGCCGCCCACATCGACGCACCCCGATCCGAGATCCAGATACCCCGATTTTCAATCCGTCGACCTCCTCTCTCTCTTCCACAACACCCAACCCCCCGGTCCAAGATGTCTTCCGCCCTCGCCCGCCCGCTCATGCGGACCACCGCTCGCACTCTCCCTTCCCGCGTCGCCGCTCGCTTTGAGTCGACCACCACCAAGAAGGCCACCGAGTCCGCAAAGGATGCTGCCGGAAAGGCCAGTGAGTACTCGGCCAAGGCCGCTCAGGGCCTGAGCCGCGCCGCCAGCGCCGCCGGTCCCGCTCTGTCTGGTGCTGTCAACGCCCTCGGCAAGGTCGGCGGCCGCACCGGCAAGGTCATCAACTTCATTGAGAGTACGCTTCAATCCGGTCACGAGGGAATTTCTATGAGCAGAGGCGCGATTGAGCGCGCATCCTTAACTTCAAGGGCCAATTGCTGACGGATGTCCGACTACAGAGCAGGTTCCCTGGGTTGTCTACTACTCCCGCGTCACTCTTGAGCTGTCCAAGATTGTCTTCCACGGCCAGAAGATGGCTCCCCCGTAAGTTCCAGCATTGGAGCGAAACGTCTAGTCCATTCAGCTTCTGACGCAAGATATACAGCCCCGTCAGCACCTTCCAGTCCTACTTCCAGACCGCCCTCGGTGCCGTCAAGAACCCCAACGCCCTCCTGAGCTCCGCCTCCTCAGCCGCCAGCTCTGCCGCCAACACCGCCGCCGCTGCGAAGCCCGCCACCATCGCCTCCCGCATTAATACCGCGACCGTGGCTACCGGTGCAGTTGTCGCTGCTGAGTGCCTCGGTTTCTTCACC